TGCTCCGCTGGGGCGCAGCTTGATACGACCGCAGAGGTCGAACCATGAACAGTTGGGGCAAGTATGGACACAACATTCAAGCTTAATACAGCACTGAATTTGGATTGTAATTAAATATTTGACACAGCATAGGTTTCTGACACAGAACAAATGTGGTCTAAGAACTTAAAAATGTTTAATTTACCTATTCAAACCATATCATTATTATTTGCTTTTATATATAAATCAGAAATAACCAATTTAAAATGGAAAATTTTAAAGAAAAAAAAGGAAAAAAAAATCCCCCCCCCAAATTTTTTGAACCCCCTTATGATTCATCACCCCCAAACTCAATCCCAGCCTTCCCTTTGTGATATGGAACCTTGCAGTACAATTTCATAAAGATCCATACACTTACACACAAGTTATTGTCCTGAAACTAGAAAAATGCTTGTTTTTTGCCCCTTTATGGCCCCTAATTCCTAAAATTTTGAGGGAATTACCCCCAAAATCAATCCCAGCCTTCCCTTTGTTCTATGGTACATTGCAGTACAATTTCAGAGAGATCCATACACTTGAACACAAGTTATTGTCTGGAAACTAGAAAAATGCTTATTTTTGGCCCCTTATTCCTAAACGTTTTGGGCAATTACCCCCAAACTCAATTCCAGCTTTCCCTTTGTGATATGGAACCTTGTAGTACTATTTCATAAAGATCCATACACTTACACACAAGTTATTGTCATGAAACTAGAAAAATGCTTGTTTTTTGCCCCTTTTTGGCCCCTAATTCCTAAAATTTGGAGGCAATTACCCCCAAAATCAATCCCAGCATTCCCTTTGTGATATGGAACCTTGTGGTACAATGTCAGAGAGATCCATACACTTACACACAAGTTATTGTCATGAAACTAGAAAAATGCTTGTTTTTTGCCCCTTTTTGGCCCCTAATTCCTAAAATTTGGAGACAATTACCCCCAAAATCAATCCCAGCATTCCCTTTGTGATATGGAACCTTGTGGTACAATATCAGAGAGATCCATACACTAACACACAAGTTATGTCTGGAAGTTACAAAAATGCTTATTTTTGGCCCCTTTTTGGCCCTTAATTCCTTAACAGTTGGAACCATAACCCCCAAAATCAATCCCCACCTTCCTTTTGTGGTATTGAACCTTATGGTAAAATTTCATAGAGATCCATTCACTTAAACTAAAGTTAGAGTGCGAAAACCAATGTGTCTTCAGACAACGACGACAGACAACGACGACGACAACATGCCAACGTCATAATAATATACGACCACAAAATTTTTTTGCAGTCGTATAATAAAACCTTTCATAATTTAATCACTGATAGGACCAAGATAAAACAAGTTGAAAATGTGAGTTATGCTCACAAACAATAATCCCACTATAAGTATATTTTGGTGAACAAGAATTTGATGAGCATAAATTTGAAAATGAATCAAACAGTATAGCATGCTCACATATAAAGCTTTATTCCAAATTTCAAAAATTCTTGATTTGTAGTTCCTGAGTGAGAAAATTAAGTATTCAGTTAACAGTTGATTATTCAGTAAACATGATGTGCACAAACCATGAATCTAAAAATGCCACATACAGTATAGCATGGTCCCATCAAGTTTGAGGAAGCTCTGATTTGTAGGTCCTGTGAAAAACACAACAAGAATGTTATGGGACAGAGAGACGGATGGATGGACAAACAAACAGAAGGACAGACTGACATAAAGAAGTAGACACCCCTCCTTTTCAAGAGGGGATATAAAAAAACTTTGTATCAGCATACCTTGCATTCCCAATTCAAAATGAAATGAGAACATGTACTTCCATTGTTTTCAGACATGACAATGTTAGCAAATCCTATAACATGCTTAGTTACCTTCCCAGAGTGGAGCAAAGTTTTCCTTGGTTGTTGTGTTAACATTAGCAGAATATCCAATAAGGGCTCTGCAACATTCAAAATGGCCACCCCTGGCTGCCAATAACAATGAAGTCTCTTCTTCAAATGTTTTCCACTCAACATCAACATCTGAAAGAAATATCCTTTTAATATATATTGTATACCCTAATACCTTATTTATTATTAGATACAAGGTAATTTGTTTAAACATGTTGAAAACTGAATATATTAATTACAAGAGCATATGTGATTTCAATTCAAAATGTGTAGGTCACCATCATAAATTGGTCAATCATTATGAGGTGAATTGTACAACTAAAGTATTTTGAATAAGTCATCCATCTTAGTTTGTAATTTAAAAAAAAGTAAACATGCAACATATGGTCCTAGCCTTGTATTGTTTGTTTCCTGACTGTACAAAAATTATAGATAACTACCCAGCCTCAGTAAGAAGTCTAAACAGCCAGTGTGACCATTAGAAGCAGCCTCATGTATTGGTGTCCATCCTCTGTTGTCTCGTACGTCTACTGGACGACCTGAAACATTATTTCATGCATAAAATACAGCAAATGTACATGTACATGACTGACTTTATATGTGAGTATTTAGACATTCTTGGTAGCTCACTCTCAAAAATGTTTGAGTACCGGTAAACTTGGTAAAAGTGTATTTAAAATGTGAATAAATCATTGTATATAATTTGAGGAGTAAAAGATTTTATGGACATAGTTTGTTCTTGATTGGCTATGAATGTATGGATAACAGGGACTTCTGGACAGGATACCCTTTAGTTGCCACTGAGTGGGCGTACCCTGAAAGACCACATGTAGTTTAATTTTGATTTCTTGTTTAATAAACGTTTATTTAAATTGTTTTCACTTGGAATGTATGTCAAAGTTACTGACAAAAAGCATTTGAGATATTTGCCTGTCGACTAACATGACTAATATGTATATAGCTAGTGATTTATTTCATAGGCAATCATATCACTTCTCATTCTTAAATTAATTTTTTTTTAAGAAAGAATTCAAGATGTGGGGAATAAGTTAATGCGACATCTTGATAAAAACTAAAGTCATCTAGGTAACAAAATACCAAAGAGTAATCTTGAGTAAAAAAAAACAGTAAGTCAACATCAACAAGGATCAGAAGAAAAATCCTTAAAATGTTGTCAATAAGTATTGCTGGAAAAAAAACTTACCATGCCAAACTAACTGTTGTACAAGACCAAGGTCACCATTACGAGCTGCTATTCCTACTGAAGAACATGTGTCCTGATAGGTTTCCTTGAAATCCATTACATACCAATACTATCAAAAAGATAAATATAATTCACATGCATATGGTATTATACATGTATCTTCACACATATATGTCATTTCTGGTATTTGAGTACAAGAATTTTTTAATAAATAAATTCATGTCTTTTTACGCATTTATTTGTTAAACTGTAGAAAACATTGCATTCTTATAGGTTCTAATTGATACAAAATGGACTTAATACTTTGACCTATATCATGGTTTACTTTTACAAATTGTGACTTGGATGGAGAGTTGTCTCATTGGCACTCATACCACATCTTCTTATATCTATTAATAGAAATAAATCATAAAACCAGTCTGATTGAAAAACAGATCTTGTGTCCACACTAACAAGGACAATCTGACAATCCTCTGCTCTACTTTTCTAAGATACCTTTCAGGATTCTCTGGCTTTTTCTAATGAAACACACCTTCAAAAATTTGGAAGCTTTATCAGTTATTTTTATTGGCTATCATTATCAGTACAGAGAGTCAAATGAGGTGTTTTCAGATCCTTGTTAGCAAAGCATAGACACAGAATCTGTATTTTAATCAGATTGTCGTAAAATAAGAAATTTTAAAAATTACTGCATCGTGCATAATTGTTGGTCATACATTTGTCATAAATAACCTGATCATAGACAATTTATATGTTTGAAGATAACTTTAATCTATGACAATGAATGAAGCGATGTATGTGTAATTGATTTTTTAAAATAACTTCAATTTCTTGTTTACTGTTATACTGCATGTCATTACAACAGAAAAAAAGCTTTCTTCTATCCATCTGAACATTTTGGGCAAACACATAAAATTCATGTTGAATGTCTTTAAGACCATAAAGGTTTACTACAAGTATCGCATAAACTTAAATATACATTATCACTGATCTGTAGAATTGAGGTAAAGGTCAGATGGACATGTACACCATACACTAACTCCATACATCAATTATAGTTTATAACCTATTGCTTATAACATTTGGGAAACAGACCTTACCAGAAAACTTAATGTTGACCAATGAACCATGAAAATGATGTTGAGGTTGGAAAATGACCTTGCTACATGCCACCTATGGACCCCCAAAGAGTTGTTGCTATATTTATTTGGATCATTCTATTCTTATAACATGTATGTATCTGTATTCACCACAAGGACTCCGAATTGGAAATAAAATATGTGATGTTATGTTAGGCTGCAATGGTTCTTATTTTCAACTTGTAATTAGCATGGAAGCTTTTCAGAGATTGAGACGTAATCATTAGCCAATTTTCTTTTTTTCAATGACTAAATTATGTTATGCCTTTTCATCATTGTCTATTACTGTGTACAAAATAAACATACATGTAAAATGAAAGTCAAGTAGTCAAGTTTACCTTTTTATTTGTCACCTTCTATAGGTTTTTGAGGATAAAGTATGTAGAATTAAAAGGGATGCAGTTTATAGCTTCTTTTATAAGCATATTTTTGTTCCTGTCAAAGTTTTAATAAGCTAATTCATATTTCATGCATAATGTCAGACAATAACTTTTAGTTTGTATGGATTTTCCACATCTCACACAATGGTCTGTCTGTAGACCGGGTTAACAGTCATATCATTCATGTTTTACAGTAAAGTGCTTGTTTATGTTTCATATAATTTGCATAGATATGATATGCAATTTGTATTTTTAGATATGCATGCTTAATGTTCCAAACATTTGTAGTATTATATACTCTTACTTATTTCATACAAGATGACTTTGAGTTTTGAATAGCCCAGTATAATATTTAACGCTACTGTACACTTCACTGTAGTTTTCAACTTCCGGAAATTCAACGAACAGAAATCGTAAATAATATCTGTTTTTTTTTTCCTTAATGCTGTAGATCCTAAGTGAATATTCCAACATGGGGTCGTCTAAGAAACACAAAGAAAAAGATCGTGAACATAAAAGAAAACACCGTCATAGATCTCGATCGAGAGAACGGAAGCGACATAAACACAGTCGAAAAGATAACAAACCACATGAAGATGAACAAGAAGGATACACTCACGAAGGATATGATGAAAACTATGATGATTACAATCGAGCACCACTACAAAAAGTACTAGCAGATGTTGGTAGGTATCGAGAGATGTGGTGTCCCTCAATATTAAATTCCTTTCTTACGTGACAGGATTGCTTCTTTTAGTACTTGTAGTAGATACTTAGTCAGCCGTAAGCAGTTGGGTCAAGGGTAACACGAATCACCAAATAACACCGTTATTAGCCAAATAACACTTGTAATCACCGAATAACACTTGAAATTTTAATATTAGCACATATTGGTGACATTTAAACATTGATAATTAAATAATATTGTATTATAAGTGTATTTTATAACTTAAAAATTATTTATAGAAAGCAGGTAAGTTCATAAAGATCGCATTAAATATTAGTGTGTACATCCAACATGGCGACCAAGGAAAACACAATGGGAAGAATAAAAGAATGATTGCATACAATCCCTCAACGTGTTCATTTTAGACCACCAAAGTGGAGCCCTCACGCCACGTCAAGGCAATGAACAATGTGAGGGTGGGCGCCTCCCCTTTTAAAAAAATATGGAATATTTAACTGTTTACAATAATAATTTTTGTGTTTATAGTTATTAAAAAAATAATATTTTATTTTTTAATTTAAAAATGGAGAGTAACCAAGCCCTTTTAAAACTAATAAGATATCCTGCACAAGGCACGGGCTTATCTGTTATAGTCCGCGAAAACAATTTATTTAGAAATTATTGTAAAAAATTAAAACTACTAAGATATCCTGCACAAGGCACGGGCTTATCTATCGTAGTCCGCGATAACAATTTATTTAGAATTTATTGTAAAAAATTAAAACTACTAAGATATCCTGCACAAGGCACGGGCTTATCTGTCATAGTCCGCGAAAACAACATTTTATTTAAAATTTATTGTAAAAAATTAAAACTACTAAGATATCCTGCACAAGGCACGGGCTTATCTGTCATAGTCCGCGAAAACAATTTATTTAGAATTTTATTGTGAAAAATTAAAACTACTAAGATATCCTGCACAAGGCACGGGCTTATCTGTCATAGTCCGCGAAAACAATTTATTTAGAATTTTATTGTGAAAAATTAAAACTACTAAGATATCCTGCACAAGGCACGGGCTTATCTGTCGTAGTCCGCGAAAACAACATTTTATTTAGAATTTAATTATTTAGAATTTCATTGTAAAAATTTAAAACTACTAAGATATCCTGCACAAGGCACGGGCTTATCTGTCATAGTCCGCGAAAACAATTTATTTAGAACTTATTGTTAAAAAATATTTTCTTCAAGTTGTACCTGAAAACATGCGCAACAATACTATACATGCATTATTTATCCAGTCTATAAAACAGCAATGGGGAACAGTAAAAGAAAAATGCATTAAACACAATACAAATTAACTGCATACACAATACAATATACTTACTTAAACATTAGGAGAAAGCATTTAAAATAGATTATTAACATACATTAGTTGGAACGTATACATGTACCTACCAGTAAAAAAAATATACACAATAAAAAAAAACAGCATGAACAATATAGAAATGTATACACAATACAAACAAAAAGCATGAACAATTTGAAAAAATATACACAATACAAATAAACAGCATGAACAATACATAATCATTATACAATATACTTACCAATGAAACAGAAGAAGAAAGCAGTTAAAAGTAAGTTATAAACATACAATGGTTAAAAAGTTCAACACCATTCAAATAAACAGTTTCAACAATACAATATACTTACCAATAAAACAGAAGAAGTAAGCAACACAGTAAGTGCAATAAAAATATAAACAATTAAATAACACAATAAACTTTTTTAAAACAAGTCATAATTTACCCACTGCTGTAATAATAATGTAATGCATGTATAGTATTAAATACACAATCAGTTCAGTCCTTCTTCTTTTTGAAGGTTGTTGTTCTCTCGTTTATCTTTCTTTTACGTTGTCCGATTTTCTTGCCCAATGCTCTCGGCTTTATGACATTCATCCTGCCATCTGTGGATGTAATTACGCGCTTATCGGGAGGAATGTAGCTCTTGAATCTCTTGGTCAATCTTTCTCTTTCTTGTACGGTTTTATTAACCCATGAAGTTGCTGTTATTTCGAAATGTTTATGCGAATCAGCCACACGGTACTGGCCCCTGGACACCAAAGCACGCTGCAAGTCCTTGAATTGTGTTTCCACGTTCCGGTTAACGCGCGCGAAACTGTCCTATAAAAACAATTACCATCACCGGGTATCTTGGCGGGATACAACTCTTCTAAAACAACTGGATGGTACCTACGGAGAATGCCAGTTGCAACTTCATCTCTTACGCTTGGGACTGAGCCAGGATTAATGGGATCGGGCATGACCTGACCGTATGTTTGTAGAAGTAGGCTCTCTGATTTTGTAATAGGTTTCACTTCTCTGGGCTTACTACCTATTACACCACTCAATCTACAATAGAGATTGCATTGTTGATGAGTTAAGATTTTTTTTAATGTTCGTTTTAAATAGAAAATATGTGGTATAATTAGTGCTTTTTAGTAAGATATTTCTATATAAATTTCTGATGTATAGAAAGTAACGCAATATAAGGAAATGGGTAGTTTTGATATTTTAATCACATTATACTAAACATATTTCAGAACAAGAACAATAAAAATACAAAATCAGTAACAATATTACAAAGCGGTAACACCTAGCCGTAAGGCGGCAAGAAGGAGTCCAAACACGTTTTTTCCTTTTCCTTTTCGGCCTGTTCCCCAAAATTCGTCAGGAACATTGTGATTTATATAGCCACTTGTTGATGTTAATTTGTCTCTAAAATCTTTGCATTGAATGAATTTCAGTTTTAATATTTCGGCCATTACAAGGGGCTTCTGGTCTTCCCATGATTTATTTGTCTTCAATCTCTTTGACATAATTTTGGCTGCTTTGGCATCTGATACTTGTTTTATTTTGTGCAACAATTCATAATCTTTGTGGTGGTTGCACTTAATACACTGATATAAGTGTTCTGCGGAGGGATAAGTGTAATCTTCATAACTTATTTGGTTAAGATAGAAATTTGACAGTACGTCATGTTCGCCTTTCACATAAGTAATCATTTTAATATTTAAGAGCACAATAAGTAAAATTATTTAGGTTTTCAACTTATATATTTTCATGCAGCTTGGTGTTTGAACAAAGTTCGCTTATTAGTTTTAAAATTAATTTTAAAACTATTCAATTAAAGACTTATAGCTTGGTATTTGAACAACAAACGTTCATAGGTTAATTTTATCTCATTTTATGATTTTGAAAACAATTCAGATAATTAAATACTATCAATGGTAATCAAATTGTGAATTGTAGATAATTAAAAAAATATAAAATTGTGAACTGTAGTCAAAGCCCAATTTCTTGTATAAATAGTGAATTAGCATATCATTTGACAGTTGTATAGACCTATCTTATCCGAACGCACCTATACTTCATATTTGCAAGATAATATTTTTTAACTCTGTTCTTCATATTTTACCGTAAATATGCTGAACATTTTGGTACTCGGGCATAGCTATGTTGAGAATTTGAGACGTTTGTGTGAGAATAGGTGGAAACCCCATACCTGGGAGAACCCGTCTAATGCTCATGGGAAGGTCTCTGTTCAAATGCATGGTTATCCTGGTGCCACTTTCAAGAGATTGACTGAAGCAATTGAGGCTGGCTTGTTTGTGCATTATAATCCACAAGTGGTTATTTGCCAAATAGGTAGCAATGATTGTGACAGATATTCTTTTGATGAGGCTGCCTTCAAAACAGACATGAATACTTTCATTTATGCTTGTCTTTCGAGAGGAGTATCAGTAGTATTCATGTCTGTTATGAAGCGGTCTGGGCCTTGGTATTGCACTCCCGATGAGCATACAGTTCGCCGAGAGATAGTGAACAAAATGATGAAAAGCATTGCTCTTGAAAATCATTTTGTACATTATTTCAAGCCAACTAATGTTTATCGGACGGAATACGAAGCTCGCGACGGGATACATTTCACTGAAGAAGGCTACCGTGCCTTCTTAGTAGCTTTGAGGAAGTCGGTCAGTTGGTTTATTAACAAAGTTAGCAAATGAACTGAAAGATTTTCTCATTGACTCCACGTGAAATGTATTTTGTTCAAGAAGAAGAAAAATTTTTTAACATCGAATGTCTTTTGAATTTTGCAAAAAAAAAGTATTTTATTAAACAGAAAAAAACTCATATCAAATAAGTTTAAATAATTTTTTTTATTTTTATTTTCTGAAGAAATTTTTTTAACATCGAATATCTTTTGAATTTTGCAAAAAAAAAAGTATTTTATTAAACATATCAAATAAGTTTAAATAATTTTTGTTTTTTAAATAATCCGAAATTCTTTGTGAAACAATAAAGCTTATTACACTTTTACAGAAGATATAGTTAGGAAGTACATATATTGTATATAGTTGTAAATATTTATTTGTGTTCTTTTTTCTTAATTATTATTATTGGTTTTGGTAATGCAGCCTTGGTATACCAAGACAGTCACAAGCCTGTTTAATGCAGAGTGTCCATACCGTAATATAATTTCATTATCATTTAATGATTAATTATGTAATGGGCACGTGTCAGTAAACAACAATCTAATTAACAATTACAGAAGTGTAAGGTAATAAATATTTTGATAATTGGGAACTTGGCATTATCACAATTAAATTATCTAATTGGCAAAAAATATTTCATTATTAAACTTTATTTAATGTATTAAAATGGATGAACATAGCAATAAAAAAATAATTAAACGTCAATACTAAGAATATCATTTTTTTTTCCTTTACTTTTATTTCAGAATTTTTAGTAAATTAAGTAAATTGAATAAACAAATGTATATTGCCAAAGAAAATGAAATAAGAAACAAGTTAAATATAATCGAATTAGTGAAATTAATGTCTTCATTAAAATTAAAGATGTAAAATTTCACATTTGTTCTTTATATATTTCATATACATTCTAATAAATATTATGTTGAAAATATACTTTATAAAATTACTTACCTTTCTAGGGACTTGGCCATGTCGTACTTGTTGTCTGTAAAGCAGCAGTCCTTACATAGGAACTTTAGAGACACATCTGACCAGGCCGATAACATTGAATCATTCATTGGGACACAAGCACTGTGAACCCAACGATCACAACTACTGCACTGAATTGTGCAATCAACACATTCTTCATCACATTGAACACAAGGATATAAAGCCATTTTAAAAATGGAAGACAGCACATATGTCTTCACATGTTTTTATACCAAATTTTAGTTACTTGTAAAAACATTAATATTTGCCAATGAAAACCTGTAATTTCTTTTTGAGAAAATACACACATACGAATCATCCATTCAGCTGCTTTGTTTTTATTATAAAACAATCAAGTATAATTAATTTTTTGATTAAATTTAAATTAAATATGTGAAAATTCTTAATTACGTTTCATTCAATATTGAGTAAATCGTTAAGAAAACTAATTGGTGATTGGAGTAATTGCATGGCTTTGATGTACTTGTTAACTTTTCGAAACCTTACTGAAAAACAATTATTGGACAATACTCTGTATATACAGTACATTATTTAATATTTTATTTTCATAGTTCTTCCCTTTGTATGCATATGCAATCATTCTTTTATTCTTCCCATTGTGTTTTCCTTGGTCGCCATGTTGGATGTACACACTAATATTTAATGCGATCTTTATGAACTTACCTGCTTTCTATAAATAATTTTTAAGTTATAAAATACACTTATAATACAATATTATTTAATAATCAATGATTAAATGTCACCAATATGTGCTAATATTAAAATTTCAAGTGTTATTCGGTGTTTACAAGTGTTATTTGGCTAATAACGGTGTTATTCGGTGATTCGAGGTACCGGTTGGGTCAATATCTTTCATTGTTTTTACATAGGCGGTAATGGTACTGTTTTTTCCTGTAGCTCAGTCCATATCGTAAACTTGGATATGTATGATAGCTCATTTCGAAGCTGTGACATTTTCACATATGTGGTTAAATTTTCGGGGTACGAAGTGAGATTACTTTTTCTGAAATTAGCATACCCCGAACATCCTTTCGTGATGCGGCTCCTCGTGGTAAAAGATCCCTTTTTTGACACAATAAGTTCTTTGAAAATTTAATACTTTGAACACATTTAATAGCTCCATAGTTTTTACACATTTATTCTATGTTCCTCTACTTTCCTAATCACCACAAATGGCTAAGCTCAGTCATTTGTAAAAAATAGAAACATGTCCAATATCACTACACAGAGATTTTTTGTTTACACACAACTTTTGAGTTCCTCATTTCGAGGCGCATTAGGGATATTGACCCAGTTGCGCTAAGGAACTTCTTTAGCTCAGTAGGTTAGAGCGCAGCCTTGAAACACAGAGGTCCATGAGTAGACAAGGTGATTTCCTCAATCCTCAATCGTAAGGCCTGTTAGGCACGAATTTTAACAATGTGCAGGTTTTCTCTTTGGTGCGTTTTTCTCGGCACATTTTCTTCTCTGTGCTTTAAAATAGTATGCACTGGTTAAGATTGGGATTGAGGAACAGCAGTATCAAATCTGCCTGTTCTGTCAATGTAATGTGCCACTGTTTGTAGTTTGGCTTTTGTCTCTTCAGTGTTCTTGCCGTCTAGTCTCGTTAGCATAGTAGCTACATTCAGGTTTCTGATCCCAACCTCTTTGGATACTTGTTGTAACATATCTTCTCGTTCGAATTCGCTCATAGCAGGGACACTCCAGAAGGAAATGGTGAGGTGTTTCAGGTGCTCCACAGTTGCATGACTCTATGGCGTTGGTTTGGCCTACTCGGTTCTTGTAGAAGTTGAGTTCTGTATAGCCAGTTTTTAGTTGGGCGAATATACTGAATTGTCTTTTAGTGGGAAAATCATACATAATTAAGTGTTTCGTAGTTGGTATTTTTTCGTAAAGGTTCCTGATTTTGTGATAAGAATCATGCTCTCTGACTCCGGATACCTTTGGCGCCCAACTAAAATACCCACAGTGGTTAAGGAGGATTTCTAGCCAGGGTATGTGTTATGAGAGTCATAATGGTATGATGACTCTTGAGGCAGGGTCTCATTCGGGGAATCTTATCCTGTATCCCACTTATTGTTTTGTCAGAATCCTGTATCCAGCTTATCATTGTAATAATAGCACTTGTAATTTCACGTGTCCTGCCCTACTTTGTTTCCTGTTTTCACGCAGAATCATTTGACTTTTTACGTGTCACGCTTACAAAAATTTGGCCAATCCTGTATCAAGCTTACACCCCAATGAGACTCACTTGAGGTTGGGGAAGTGTCACAGGATTGCTTCCCTTAGTACGTGTAGTAGATACTTAGTCAGCCATAAGCGGTTCAGCTAAGGATGTACAAACAAAATGTACTTCTTTAGATCAGTCCGTTAGAGTGCTGGCTTGTAACACAGAGGTCCCAGGTTTGAGTCCTTGAAGAGACAAAGTGATTTTGTAATACGAATCATGCCCTCTGGATACACTTATTTTTAAAGATAAGATAAGATGTTAAGAACAGATATTTTATTGGTTTAAAATCCAAAATTTAATTTATCCAGCAATAATAAAAAAAGACTGTTTGAAGGGTTATGAGTAGTATTTACACATATCATAATCAACAGGGTTTTTGTTAAAGACTAGTACACCTGTCCTGGATGCGATTGTCTATCTGGACATGCCATTTCATGAACTATTGCATCCTTGAGTTACGTTTCGGTATAAACACTAGTTGAGCCCTGTTATAATCACAATTAATCTTCAGCTGTCAAAAAATATCTGGAAATGTGCTTGTTTTTTTTTAACAGGAAATAAGACTTCCGTTTTCATTCATCGCTTTCTGTAATGATACAAATCCTGCGAGAGTCGAAAATAAATGATGTAATCATGATCACTTGATTGAACTATGCTTATGTGATAAAACCAGAGGAAATAATTATTTTTAGCCTTCAGCACATGTTAACACAGCAATAAAGTTGTTAAAGAAAGCTTATTAATTATCAAATGTATTTAAAGTGATAATTATGTTTTGTAACACATTTGAAATACATGTAAGTAACCAATAGTAAGTTTAAAAGGGGATTTAATCTATAATAAAATGCATTTTGCAGAAGGAGATTAAATTTTCAAAAAGTAGTGAAACTTGCAATAAAATAAGAAGATAAGAATGTGCATTTTTGTATATTTTTAATAAGTCCCCTACCGACGAAGTCGAAGGGGACTTTAGGTTTGCACTCCGTCCATCTGTCTGTCTGTCTGACTGTCTTACCATCCGTCAGTCCGTCAAATAAGTTTTCCACACTTTTTTTCTTCATGCTTGAAGATATTGATTTGATATTTGGTGTATTGTTTTATCATGACAAGTTACAGATCAAGATTAAATTTTGTTCCTGTCTGATGATTTTGTGCAGAGTTATGGTCCTTGGACTTAGAAAATTCGCTCAAATAATAAGTTTTCCTCACTTTTTTTCATCATGCTTGAAGATATTGATTTGATAACTGGTATATAGTTTTATCATGACAAGTTACAGATCAAGTTGGAATTTTGTTCCTGTCTAAGATTTTGTGCAGAGTTATGGTCTTTGGACATAGAAAATTCACTTAAATAATCAGTTTTCCACACTTTTTTTTCATCATGCTTGAAGATATTGACTTGATATTTGTTATATATTTTACACAATGACAGGTTATAGATTAAGTTAACATTTTATTCCAGTACAATGAATTTTTAACCAGTAGGGGACTATGTATTGTCATGCAATACTCTCAGAATACTTGTTTATTCAACATTTTATTTTGGTACTTTTACTTTTCCATTGCTTTCATTTTGTATATTTTTTATTGTGATTAAACTATGGAATGTGATAAAATTCAATATACATGTATTTTCAACAGTTGCACTAAATAATTTAACAATACAATGCAAAACAATTGCTTATCCATATGAAATATTAAAATTCTGTGGATCTGTGGATCTTTTGCAAAAAATCTAATGATAAGAAATGGTTGTAAGTTAAATGGAAATGTTCATCATTTACGAGTATTTTTTCTCCTAAATACTCGTAAGATTTTTGGGAAATGAGTTGTTGTTGTTTTAAAGATATATCTACTTATCTGCTTTTAGCTGAAGAGACATCAACAAGTGGTGGAGGTCTGGAATTGAGCATAGAAGAAACTAAGTAAGTGATCAAAGAATACATTCAGATAAAAAGTGATAGACTGAAATCATTCAAAATACATTGTAACTGCTGGAACAAAACAAGAGAACTAAGCTATAATATTGCATTTTTTACAAGCCATTTTTATTTCACAGCTCATTCCTTTTTTTCAAGAATCATTTTATTGAATTTAGAATACATTTAAGCAGTTGCAAGATTATATGTATAGATTTGGAAGGTTTCTTCTGTAAGAAGGTTAATTTTTCCAGCTTCAAAAATGACTGGACTGGTTGCAATATCTAGGTGCTTATTCCACATAACTGCTAAGCTAGTCCTCCTAAAATAATAGATGGGGTGCCCTTTTTGTTTCACTTGCGAAAATAGTCGCAGAAGGTGAGACATAAGCATTGCTCTTCCAGAGGGGAATGCGACTGTATCAACAATTGTTAAGTTTTCTGCTTAAGTCAGTATGATAGGAACTACTTGTGATAGATCAATGAAATTTTCTATAAAGTTGCCTTAGTATCAGTACATATCAGTTTGACATCCCATCTCTTTCCTCTTTGTGGTTATCTTTTTATCTTGTTGTACTTTTAAATTGATAAAACATTGATGACATTCTAGCCAAGCATGACAGATTTTATGAAACAATAATCAACCAGCTAAAAAATCATTTTGACCAACGAAAGTTATTTCTCTGTGGAATTTTGTAGATAATCAACTGACATATTTAATTCTTAGAAAACATTTAGGATATGGGGTATCCATCCATGACACAAAATCAGTACATGCACAGCAAAAAAAAACACACAATAAGCACAATAAGCAAAGGAACAGCGCTTTTATTGCTGTTCTTCATCTCATCTTCACAGTGAGGCCTTCAACACAGATCAAAAAAACTCTCACCTCACTGCAAGTTTAAGATGACCCCTAGCATCGGCTTGAGAGGAATTCTTTTTTCAAGTACAATTGTTTGTACATCATGTACATAAATGTAAGGTATAAGTAATCTTCATTTTACAGAATTAGGATGTTAAAAAATGTTATGTGTTTAATTTTGCAGTTAATACAGAATTCATAAGAAAATGACATTAACCTGTTCACAATTCTTAAAAATACAGGTACTTTTTTTACTTAGATAATCATGTTTTTGGCAATGCTGATTTTTTTCAACATATGTACTAGGTAATTAGTTGCAATTAAGGCAACAAAATAAGAATTATATCAATTCAAAAAATAAATGAGATCCTGACAGTTCAACATTTAGAAGGTACATTGTGTAAGGATCAATTAAAGGTATAGTGCACAATTTATAAATGTAACTATAACCAAATATTAATGTATGTTTTTTTTAGTCCCCTACCGACGAAGTCGAAGGGGACTTTAGGTTTGCACTCTGTCCGTCTGTCCGTCAGTCCGGCAACTCAGCTTTCCACACTTTTTTTCTTCGTTCTTGAAGATATTTGATTTGATATTTGGTATATAGTATATCATGACAAGTTATAGATCAAGTGCGAATTTTGTTACGGTCTGATGATTTAGTCCAGAGTTATGGTCCATAAAAAAAACTCCATAACTAATGTTAGAGTACTATGTTAAACCATATATCTGTACAAAGGGAGATAGCTCAATTTTTAAAAGACATTCTTTGGTAAATTGTTTGAGGAATTTTGTGGCAGGTTTATATGTTATTTTGTATAAACTAATTTTCTGAATGCTACATGTATATATATATATATTTTATTAAGTGAAATCCTTTAATTAGATAATAATCTATTTTTATTAAAGTATATATTTCATTACATTACATTACATTGTGTAGATAAAAGTTGTTGACATTTTACAGATAAGTTACAAATCTATATTAGTTTGTGACAAATGAAAGAAAAAATATTTGGAACTATTAATTATATTTGATTGTAATTTGAAAATAGATATACATTGTATTACATCATATCTAATTTTAGAGAACTATTAATCATATTTAATGTTAGAGTGTTATAGGTTTTCCACACTTTTTTTCATCATGCTTGAAGATATTGATTGACAATTGGTATATAGTTTTATCATGACAAGTTACAGATCAAGTTCAAATTTTTGTTTCAGTCTGATAATTTTGTGCAGAGTTATGGTCCTTGGACTTGAAAAAATTCACTCATATATTCAGTTTTCCACACTGTTTTTAGTCATGCTTGAAGATATTGACTTGATGTTTTCTTTTTGTTTACACCATGATAATTATAGAACAAGTAAGCATTTTGTTCCAGTATAATGAATTTTTACCCGGTAGGGGACTATGTATTGCCATGCAATACTCTCAGAATGCTTGTTTTTTTTATTATTTAAAATTACATTCTGAGTTAAATAGGACATGCAGTAATGCAGTTGATTTAAATTTAATGAGATGGTTGAACTTGACATTTTTGTATGAATATTTTCAGTCGTATCCGTGCTAAACTTGGACTGAAACCACTAGAGGTTAATTATCCAGCTCTAGTAAAAGCAGGTAGGTACATTTGTATTGTAAAAATGTGGATATTTAATGTTTCTGAATTACATGATTAAATTTCTCAATATGTAATGATAACATCCATCATCCAAATAGCTATCTGTTGTACCATCGATCATCAGGGATAATGAGATTGTCCTTGACGACTTAGTTATGGAAGATGTTTGATTGCACATATGTTATGTCATATATATAGATTTCATTATATTTTAAAAATGCATAAAACTTTTCAACAACAAAAACATATTTATTTAAGTCTAAATAAATGTATAAAATATTACTCTGCATAGTACCAATATGCTAAAATGTTTTACCAATTGCAGTATTTATCTCTTAAAAACTGATCAACTGGTTAAACATTTTAGCAATTTGGTATTTTGAAAGGACAAAGCCTTTAAAAATACACAGTAACTGTCCTGAATAGGTACCACAATTTATTTATGTCTCAATGAGCAGGGTATCAACTGTCCTGAATAGGTACCTGATCACATTTTAACAAAGCCTTGAGGAGCAGGATATTAACTGTCCTTGCTATGTATTAGATCCTGTTTAATATGTACAATAAATTCAATGCACTGATGATCAGGGATCACCAGGGCATAATATTCAAGGGCAGAGCTTATGAAATAATTTTAACTGTTGAAAAATATTTATATCTATATATTTTATATCTTTTGCAATAATCTTAGATACATTTATATGTGCGTACTAAAATTTATGTATCTTAATTTTATGACAAAAATATAAAAATTAAATGTTAGTTTTTCAAATTTATACTGATTAAGAAATACTATTCAAAATTATCTCATGTTATCTCAAAACTTTAGGGTTTATGCTGAGAAAACTAAGAATGGTGCTGGAAATCCCAGGGTGGTGAAAAAAATTATAAAGTGGAGGAGCACACCATTTAACCCTTAAATAACTTGTGGTGATCCTTAATGAATAATACTGTGATATAGGAATAATAAGGATAGTTGTTTTTTGACAGAACTACATTTAAATAAAACTTAAGAAACTAATTGAGCTACAATCATATAATTGTTGTTCTGGTGCATCTACACATCAACCTTCTTTTGTGAAATGGTAGTTTCATGACCAACATATCAGGGTTCACTACCAAGTTAAATTATCAGATACTATGTGACTTACAGTCATTTAACTTTCTATTGGAATGCATGTAGGAAAGAATGACAACTTTCTTTCGAAAGAAGTAATTTTTTTCTGCATTTCATGCTTTATTGTTTTTGGTTGCGTTTTATGTCTGAGTTCAGTTTTGAATAGAGAGGAACTTTGGATATAAATGCTTATTATCAAATCTGACAGTTGACTACCAAAACTATATCACTATGCATTTTTTGCATTATAGGCAATGATTAATTCTAATGCTGTTGTGATATATGGAAATATAAATAGGTTTATAACATTGATCTGGGAGAGTCTGACTGCTGTCTTCTCCTTAACCTAGACCTATGGTTATATAACTTTACTCAGTACTTGGAGTACAAAATTTGTGGTAGAAGCACAAAATCCAGTATTTTGATTGGTTGAGTACAATAATCGTATTCCAAATTTTTATGACCACAAGGCCTATGAATCTTTTCATGAAAACTTGAAAATAACTACTGGTAGTTTAACCCCTCCACATATTCATTGTCAAGGACTCCGTCTGTGGTTGTCTTTTGTTATATCTGAATGTTATATTATATTTAAAGAATTTGAGTGTTGATAGCAGATCTTTGATTGTTTCTTTTTAAATTATTCACAAAATATAGTATAGACTGTGAACAATTTAAGCTTAACATATTGTCCAGACACATGTCTATTGTTATGTTGTCTTGTAGACGTCTATTTGTTATTTTTGTTGGGTTGCTGTCTCATTGATGTATCCCACATCGCCAATTATTGATACAAATCCTTAAGTTTATTCTGAAAATATACTGTAACTGTTACTCAACATTTGTTATTATATGTATTTTAGACGTAGACGAGGATGGAAATGAGGCAGGGGAGGATGCTCCTTTTGTTACAGAAGATGGTGACGTACATAAACCAGCTGTCAACATTACAGCTAAGAAAGAAACAGACAAATTCAAAGAGAAAATGGATAGAATGAAGGAAAAACGCAAACATAGTCAGAAACTAAGGTTAGAGAATTTATTGGTTAGACAGAATTCAGTATTTTAATAAGTAGGTAATCATTTAGGTTTAGTGACTTAAATCATTTTTTCCGTGCCTTCTAATATTCTACTGTTCTTTACATATTATTACACTAAGTTACTTGAAAATTGTATAACTTAAACTAACATATAGCAATTTAGAGAACCAAGATTGATGATGAGCTTTTAGGCACTGTCGATCAATATGAAAAAGGGAACCAAAACCGTAGAAATAAAAAAAAAATATCTTTGCATCTTTTTACATACAGTTGTTAATGAAAATGAAACATTTTAATGTAAATTCATGTATTTATACTAAATCTAGGTTGCAGATCCCTCAGGAAAAGTTCACATGAGATGGTTTTGGCTGTTCTGCATATGTATTTTGGTTATTATGCCTTCAAAAACTTTTAATTTTTTTCTTTGAAAGTTTTGGGCTTGAGCATACCTGTTGAATATTATTCCAGAAATGTGTCATGCACTGAACTTGGTGTCACATGTTTATATAACTTTTTTACTTACAACAAACACAGTCCTAGTTCAATATTAAACGATTAAAGGATTGTCTTATTTTAAAGTACTGGTATAGTCCCAACAGTTTAATTTCCAAATGCTTATAAGATGAATTGTAACATGATTGGTTGTTCAACATGGTTTAAAAAGTTAAATTGTAATATACTGTTTTTGTAAAACTAATAATTAAAGAAAGTCTAGAACAAAAGCATTTAAGAATCTGAAATATATGCTCGTCAAAACTCTGTTACTTAGAGAATTTTTACCAAATGCAAATTTGAATAAGTCAAATTCAATTTTGATAAGGGCTATTCCATTAAAATGTTTGTGGGAGGGTAGGAAGGGAAGTTTAATTATTGAATGTGGGTCATGGGTCTTTTTTCAGTATGCGTCTATTACCATTATGCAAAATTATCTAAAAAATGGTTCTTGGTTGTAGGGATATTTTGAACTTTCTACCTGCCCACATAGATTTTAATGGAATAGCCCTTACAAATACAGAAAATAAAAGGTCAATTTTGAGACACAGTACCATTCAATCAATCAGAAACTATGTTTTGAAAATATTCAATCTTTATTTTTCAGTAAAGTTAAGACACTGGGTGAAAGTGATTCAGGAGATGATGCATCTTCGTGGGTAAAGAAAAGCAGAAAAATACAGACAGATAAGGAACTAGCAGCAAAAAGAGTGAGTTACATATTTTTGAATTGAAAATCCTTTTTGTAGACAAATTTTCTTCAAATACAAATTATATTTTATAGCACTGTAATGAATGCACATGTTTTGATAGTCAAGTACAAGATGTAGGTTATAGTAAAGAATAACACAATGACCAACAGTACAGATAAAATTGAGAATGGAAATGGGGAATATGTCAGAGACAACAACCCGACCAAAGAGCAGACAACAGCCAAAGGCCACCAATGGGTCTTCAACGCAGCGAGAAAAGTCCTCAGCCGGCCCCTAAATAAAATTGTGTACTTGTTCAGTGAAAATGGACATCATACTAAACTCCAAAACATATAAATGAACTCAAATTAAAAAGCATACAAGACTAACAAAGGCCAGAGGCTCCTGACCTGGGACAGGCGCAAAAATGTGGTGGGGTTAAACATGTTTTGTGAGATCTCGACCCTCCACCTATACCTCTAGCCAATGTAGAAGTATTTTTGAAGTGGTCCTCCTTAAACTAGATGCTGAAGGAATTATGGGCTGTTGTTTACTTCTGTTTTTGCAGATATAGTTGAACCTCGATAAGTCAAAGTCTCAGGTACCTGACATAACTATTTTTCTCATCCAAGGTTCGAGTTGTCTGAAAGTTATTTTCCTTTAAAATTTCCATTCTATCAAACTTCAACACAGCAGGGTAAATTTATGTTCATTTTTATACGACTGCAAAAAAATGTTTGTGGTCGTATATTGGTATGACGTTGGCGTCGTCGTCGTCGTCGTCCGAAGACACATTAGTTTACGCACTATAACTTCAGTTTAAGTGAATGGATCTCAAAGAAATTTTACCATAAGGTTCAATACCACAAAAGAAAGGTGGGGATTGATTTTGGGGGTTATGGTACCAACAGTTAAGGAATTAGGGGCCAAAAAGGGGCCAAAAATAAGCATTTTTGTAACTTCCAGACAAAACTTGTGTGTAAGTGTATGGATCTCTCTGACATTGTACCACAAGGTTCCATATCACTAAGGGAATGCTGGGATTGATTTTGGGGGTAATTGCCTCCAAATTTTAGGAATTAGGGGCCAAAAAGGGGGAAAAAACAAGCATTTTTCTAGTTTCATGACAATAACTTGTGTGTAAGTGTATGGATCTCTCTGACATTGTATCACAAGGTTCCATATCACAAAGGGAATGCTGGGATTGATTTTGGGGGTAATTGCCTCCAAATTTTAGGAATTAGGGGCAAAAAAGGGGCAAAAAACAAGCATTTTTCTGGTTTCATGACAATAACTTGTGTGTAAGTGTATGGATCTTTATGAAATTGTACTGCAAGGTTCCATATCACAAAGGAAAAGCTGGAATTGAGTTTGGGGGTAATTGCCCAAAAAGTGTAGGAATAAGGGGCCAAAAAGGGGCCAAAAATAAGCATTTTTCTAGTTTCCAGACAATAACTTGTGTTGTGTTCAAGTGTATGGATCTCTCTGAAATTGTACTGTAAGGTACCATACCACAAAGGGAAGGCTGGGATTGATTTTGGGGGTAATTCCCTCAAAATTTTAGTAATTAGGGGCTACAAAAGGGCAAAAAAACAAGCATTTTTCTAGTTTCAGGACAATAACTTGTGTATAAGTGTATGGATCTTTATGAAATTGTACTGCAAGGTTCCATATCACAAAGGGAAAGCTGGAATTGAGTTTGGGGGTAATTGCCCTAAAAGTTTAGGAATTTGGGGCCAAAAAACAAGCATTTTTCTAGTTTCCAGACAATAACTTGTGTTCAAGTGTATGGATCTCTCTGAAATTGTACTGCAAGGTACCATACCACAAAGGGAAGGCTGGGATTGAGTTTGGGGGTGATGAATCATAAGAGGGTTCAAAAAATTGGGGGGGATTTTATTTTCCTTTTTTTTCTTTAAAATTTTCCATTTTAAATTGGTTATTTCTGATTTATATATAAAAGCAAATAATAATTATATGGTTTGAATAGGTAAATTAAAAATTTTTAAGTTCTTAGACCACTTTCATTCTGTGTGAGAAACCTATGCTGTGTCAAATATTTAATTACAATCCAAATTCAGTGCTGTATCAAGCTTGAATGTTGTGTCCATACTTGCCCCAACTGTTCATGGTTCGACCTCTGCGGTCGTATCAAGCTGCGCCCCAGCGGAGCATTTTATTCTTCAAGGTAACTTAGATTTTGATTCAACCAAGTTCTACTCACCAGAGTTAGAAATGCCTTGACCAAAAGGTAATTCTGCTGGAACAAAACACATCTACTTATTTCAGTTTTCAACACATCGAGGCTCGACTGTATATAAATCTTAAATTAGGTTAAAGACGTTTGAAATCTAGATTTAATGATTGTTACCGAGATAGTATAATGATTACAATGCATTATTTATGAACACAATGTTCATGTCTCCATTTTATGTTATTGAACTTATACATTTCAGTAGAGCTTTATTTTTTATTCAGGCAAAAATGTTAGAAGAGATGGATGCAGAGTTTGGAATAGGAAATATTGTTGAACAGGAATTTACAAATAAGTCAAAGGTAAGATTGTTAATCACTTAAAATGAGACACTTTTTCCATTATAGATATAGATAATAAATTTGTTACTTCATAAGAACATGACGAAACTTGCCTTTAGTTTATGTTTCATCCACTTATTGCATTAAAAACATTATATTCTTTTCCAAACTGCTTGTCAAACATTGTTTACTTTTGTAAATTTTTCTTCATCTGCCATTAAAATATTTATACAAACCAGGATCGGAGGCAGACTAACCATAACCAAAATCTGTATTCCTACAATGATAACTTCAGATGCACGAATGGCACAGCTGACAGAAGATTAATGATTCCAAACGTGAAAAAATACACATTTCACACACATTTACAAGCATTTGGTTAGATCCCTTTGTTAAATGTATATATTTCCATGTAAATGCATTGTTTCAATTTCTTGATTTCAGTTGCTTAGATTTGTTAAATTTATATATCTTTTTAATGAAAACAATGAATTTCATCAACAGAATAGTTTTTCTCATAGAATTTTTATTGATGAATGATAATTTCTTTTCCTTTTTACTGTGACTTGACTATGGGTGTTACTGTTTACCTGTACCTATTGTTCAACCAGATTGTAATATTGACAATACAATTGGGACATTTAAATTGACCAGTTGGTTTTTATACGACCGCAAAAAAATTTTTGTGGTCGTATATTGGTATGACGTTGGTATCTTTTTAATGAAAACAATGAATTTCATCAACAGAATAGTTTTTCTCATAGAATTTTTATTGATGAATGATAATTTCTTTTCCTTTTTACTGTGACTTGACTATGGGTGTTACTGTTTACCTGTACCTATTGTTCAACCAGATTGTAATATTGACAATACAATTGGGACATTTAAATTGACCAGTTGGTTTTTATACGACCGCAAAAAAAATTTTGTGGTCGTATATTGGTATGACGTTGGCGTCGTCGTCGTCGTCCGAAGACGCATTAGTTTTCGCACTCTAACTTTAGTTTAAGTGAATGGATCTCTATGAAATTTTACCATAAGGTTCAATACCTCAAAAGGAAGGTGGGGATTGATTTTGGGGGTTATGGTACCAACAGTTAAGGAATTAGGGGCCAAAAAGGGGCCAAAAATAAGCATTTTCTAGATTCCAGACAATAACTGTGGAACGGTGTATGGATCTCTCTGAAATTATACTACAAGTTTCCATACCACAAAGGGATGGTTAGGATTTGCTTTGGGGGGTTATTGCTCAAACCGTTTAAGAATTAGGGGCAAAAAAGGGGGAAAAACAAGGTTGTCCTCATTAATGGACAAATACTTTAGTACAAAACATAATTTAAAGCAGTGTAAGGGAGATAAATCAAATACATCATTGAAATTATCTCCCTTACACTGCTTTTAAATTATGTATAAAGTAATGGTTAATGAACAATTAAGATAATTTAAAACAGTGTAAGGGAGGTAATCCAAATACAACGTTTTGGTTACTTCCCTTACACTGCTTTTAAATTATGTTTAAAGAAATGCATATTTATAAAGGAAGACCAGTATGGCGCATTAGATTTGTAAAATCTTTGACCACATTTATTTATTTGTTATGCCGAATCTAACCGTGTTTTTAGATTTTTAATTTTGGGTCCAGTTTTCAAATTGGTCTACATTAAGGTCCAAAGGGTCCAAAATTAAACTTTGTTTGATTTTAACAAAAATTGAATATATGGGGTTCTTTGATATGCTGAATCTAAACATGTATTTAGATTTTTTATTTGTGGACCCCGCTATCAAATTGGTTCATATTGAGGTCAAAAGGGTCCAAAATTAAACTTTGTTTGATTTCATCAAAAATTTAATTATTGGGGTTCTTTGATATGCCAAATCTAACCGTGGAATTTAGATTTTTAATTTTGGGTCCCGTTTTTTAAATTGGTCTACATTAAGGTCCAAAGGGTCCAAAATTAAACTTAGTTTGATTTTAACAAAAATTGAATTCTTCGTGTTCTTTGATATGCTGAATCTAAACATGTGTTTAGATTTTTATACGACCGCAAAAAAATTTTTGTGGTCGTATATTGGTATGACGTTGGCGTCGTCGTCGTCGTCGTCCGAATACACATTAGTTTTCGCACTCTAACTTTAGTTTAAGTAAATGGATCTCAATGAAATTTTACCATAAGGTTCAATACCACAAAAGGAAGGTGGGGATTGATTTTGGGGGTTATGGTACTAACAGTTAAGGAATTAGGGGCCAAAAGGGGCCAAAAATAAGCATTTTTGTAACTTCCAGACATAACTTGTGTGTAAGTGTATGGATCTCTCTGACATTGTACCACAAGGTTCCATATCACAAAGGGAATGCTGGGATTGATTTTGGGGGTAATTGCCTCCAAATTTTAGGAATTGGGGGCCAAAAAGGGGCAAAAAACAAGCATTTTTATACGACCATGACAATATCTTGTTTGTAAGTGTATGGATCTTTATGAAATTGTACTACAAGGTTCCATATCACAAAAGGAATACTGGGATTGATTTTTGGGGTAATTTCCTCCAAATTTTAGGAATTAGGGGCCAAAAAGGGGCAAAAAACAAGCATTTTTCTAGTTTCATGACAATAACTTGTTTGTAAGTGTATGGATCTTTATGAAATTGTACTACAAGGTTCCATATCACAAAGGGAAGGCTGGGATTGATTTTGGGGGTTTTCCCTCAAAATTTTAGTTATAAGGGGCCATAAAAGGGCAAAAAAAAACATGCATTTTTCTAGTTTCAGGACAATAACTTGTGTGTAAGTGTATGGATCTTTATGAAATTGTACTGCAAGGTTCCATATCACAAAGGGAAAGCTGGAATTGAGTTTGGGGGTAATTGCCCTAAACGTTTAGGAATTTGGGGCCAAAAAGGGGCCAAAAAACAAGCATTTTTCTAGTTTCCAGACAATAACTTGTGTTCAAGTGTATGAATCTCTCTGAAATTGTACTGCAAGGTACCATACCACAAAGGGAAAGCTGGGATTGAGTTTGGGGGTGATGAATCATAAGGGGGTTCAAAAAATTGGGGGGGGGGATTTTTTTTTCCTTTTTTTTCTTTAACATTTTCCATTTTAAATTGGTTATTTCTGATTTATATATAAAAGCAAATAATAATGATATGGTTTGAATAGGCATACATGTGAACCTCCCGACGGGAGTACAATAATCCTGTTTTCAGGGGTCTCCTCCCGACCTCCTGTTGAAGAGGAAAAAATCCTGTGTATGAAATTTTTCATGAATGAAAAATTTCTGCCCAACATATCATCTCAGGCATCTGGTGTAACTGACATTACCTGAAGTTATATTTTACCTGTAAATCAATTAACATGCATAATTATATGGCTTCACTTGTCAGCTTGGGTGTCAAACATACAGGTAATCAACGATTTTTACCTCAGGCTAACTGCTGTTGTGTAACAAAAACTGTGTATTTATTGGGTTACTTCCCTTGATTTATCCTGTTTAAAGTTACTTTCCTTTTAATAATGAAAATTTTTAAAAGAATATAAATAAAATATAAATTGAACAAATAATCATAAAAGGATGGTTATTAAATGATTTTAAATGTCTTAGGACAAATAAAAAAATAATAATTTGAAAATTATTTGAGGATTCTAGACTTCCTTTCAAGGCTTAAATTGAAATTTATATAATAACTATGACCCTAATTTTACAGATAAAATGATTTTCTGAGTTTGCAAATAAAAACTATTTGCAAGAGAAAAAAAATAAATAAAAACTATATGCAGATAGCTAAACAAATGTTCTGGTTGCAATGATTGTTTTATAGAATATGAAGTAAAAAATTTAAAGAACATACTGGAAAAATACAATGTTAGATTGAACATGTAGAATATAAAGATGGAGAAACTTTATAAGTACAAGGGTACTATAAACATAATAAATTGGATGGAAAGTTGAAGAAAACACACTTTAAAAGACCATTTTTACAGCACACGGTTACATTTACAACAAAATTAATGTCGATTAAAAACCTCCTGATCTGAGTCCTAATCTCCTGACCAAAATTTCCCAATCTCCTGATCTGAGTTTCACAGTCCATCACATGTATGAATAGGTAAATTGAAAATTTTTAAGTTCTTAGACCACTTTCATTCTGTGTCAGAAACCTATGCTGTGTCAAATATTTAATTACAATCCAAATTCAGTGCTGTATCAAGCTTGAATGTTGTGTCCATACTTGCCCCAACTGTTCAGGGTTCGACCTCTGCAGTCGTATCAAGCTGCGCCCCAGCGGAGCATTTTATTTATTATGGGCCCAGTTTTCAAGTTGGTCCAAGTTGGGGTCCAAAATTAAACTTTGTTTGATTTCAACAAAAATTGAATATATGGGGTTCTTTGATATGCTGAATCTAAACATGTAATAAGATTTTAGATTTTTGGCCCAGTTTTCAAGTTGGTCCAAATTGGGGTCCAAAATTAAACTTTGTTTGATTTCAACAAAAATTGAATATATGGGGTTCTTTGATATGCTGAATCTTACCATGTATTTAGATTTTTTATTTGTGGGCCCGCTATCAAATTGATTCATATTGAGGTCAAAAGGGTCCAAAATTAAAGTTTGTTTGATTTCATCAAAAATTTAACTATTGGGGTTCTTTGATATGCCAAATCTAACCGTGTATTTAGATTTTTAATTTTGGGTCCCGTTTTTTGAATTGGTCTACATTAAGGTCCAAAAGGTCAAAAATTAAACTTAGTTTGATTTTAACAAAAATTGAATTTTTTAAGTTCTTTGATATGCTGAATCTAAACATGTGTTTAGATTTTTGATTATGGGACCAGTTTTCAAGTTGGTCCAAGTTGGGGTCAAATTAAACTTTGTTTGATTTCAACAAAAATTGAATATATGGGGTTCTTTGATATGCTGAATCTAAACATGTATTTAGATTTTAGATTTTTGGCCCAGTTTTCAAGTTGGTCCAAATTGGGGTCCAAAATTAAACTTTGTTTGATTTCAACAAAAATTGAATAAATGGGGTTCTTTGATATGCTGAATCTTACCATGTATTTAGATTTTTTATTTGTGGGCCCGCTATCAAATTGGTTCATATTGAGGTCAAAAGGGTCCAAAATTAAACTTTGTTTGATTTCATCAAAAATTGAATTATTGGGGTTCTTTGATATGCTAAATCTAACCGTTTTTTTAGATTTTTAATTTTGGGTCCCGTTTTTTTTAATTGGTCTGCATTAAGGTCCAAAGGGTCCAAAATTAAACTTAGTTTGATTTAAACAAAAATTGAATTCTTGGGGTATTTTGATATGCTGAATCTAAACATGTGTTTAGATTTTTGATTATTGGACCAGTTTTCAAGTTTGTCCAAGTTGGGGTCCAAAATTAAACTTTGTTTAATTTCAACAAAAATTGAATATATGGGGTTCTTTGATATGCTGAATCTAACCATGTATTTTGATTTTGGACATTGGACCATAATAGGTAAATTAAAAAAATTGAAGTTCTTAGACCACATTCTTTCTGTGTCAGAAACCTATGCTGTGTCAAATATTTAATCACAATCCAAATTCAGAGCTGTATCAAGCTTGAATGTTGTGTCCATACTTGCCCCAACTGTTCAGGGTTCGACCTCTGCGGTCGTATCAAGCTGCGCCCCAGCGAAGCATTTTATGTTAGATTTAAATCTACCTTGATGCTACCTGTAAAGATTTTTATTCACCTAACCAAAACTTTCAGCATGCTTTTTTCCTGAAGTTTTTCTTAACCTAGGATTATTCTTTAAAACAAATTGAAAGGGAAGAAAATATTTTTGATCACTCATGTATTTTAATTTAGAGTCTAATTGGATGCTGTCCTATCACTTCACCTGTTTAATTGTTGCTGTTGTAGTATAAATGAGATAGGTTTTTCAAAACTTATAAATATGGTATCAAGGCTTCAATTTTTATCTTTGTTGAATAAAATAATATGCATTCAGTCTTAATTAGTTTATATGGTATGAATAATGCTAGAATATGACCACTTATATATGATAACTAGATGCAAACTTATTTCATGTTCTTATATTTACTAAAAACTGCGGATTTAATAAAAAAATCCTTTTCTCATGTTTTTTATTAGAGAATCCAAAAACAGATAAAGAAATAAACATTGTTATTAGTCTTTTTTTTTTTGAAATGGATGTTTTCCCTGAAATAATTGGTCATACAAATGCCAAAAAAACACAACATTTAGAAGGAAAAACAGATTTTTATTTTACTGTCATTTAAAATTTTAAGAGTAAGCAAGCCAGATCAAGACTATATGTTTTTTTTGCAGGGAATTTAATTACATGTCGTATAATTCACTACATTTCCTCTTAATGTTTTCATAGCCAAATACTATGAGTGCTTGGACTTCTTGTATGCTGTTGAAAAAAAACCTTTTTAATATCTCTTTGGCTTTTTCTAATGGGAAATAACTCAAAATAATTTGTTTTTGCTTCTCTGGAAATCTGAACTACTTGACTTATTTCCAGGATTAATAAACACCAGAACAACTGTATGCATTCCTTCATTTAGACATTTGGTTTTACACTTATTGACATGTTCCTTGTACAAATTGTTTATGCATATTCATATTGAAATATCAAAATCATATTTGAATGAACTATTTTATTTACTCTAATATTGACACTGATATTTTACATCTCATCCAGTATTCCATTTTCTTTATCTTTAATAATTTATAACATTTTCCTAATTTTATGAAAGTTTTCAAATACTTGTATACGTTTTTCACTATATAACTAGATTTTCTCTCTATATCCATATTCTGTTTAATTTCCCATGATATATATATCCCCAAAAACAGGTACAGAATTTTGCAATATTTGATTATTTCCATTATCATATTTAAAATGATTATCCTCACTTTACAAATATTTTGGATGAAGTTTATTCATATATTTTCACTATATCACTTGATTTTACTATATCCACAGTATTGAGTTTTTATTTCATTTACCAAAGTATATGTTCCAATTAAACAATATTAGATCCAGAACTTTATAATGATTATTTCCAATTTCACATTCACGTTATCCAAACGTAAGGAATATTTTGGAATATTTTACTTTTTCTTTTCACTTTATCACTACATTAGACTATATCCACTATATGAATTTAACATTTTGTTTCATTTCCATGATATTTATCCCATTTAAACAGGTGAATCACTCTTATAATATATCCCAAAATTTATAATGAATGTTTTCAAAATTGCATTTAAAGCCACAGACACATGTTGAAATTATTTCTCCTTCTTGCATTCAAGTTTTGATTTTTTATAACCTTTTAGATAACTTAATCCATATTATGCAAATTGAATTTCCTTGAGTGAACACAGTATTTATAATAGATTTCAAAAAAAAACACTGCAAGGTATACTCCAATATTATTATGAATTTTACATGTACATCATAAAAATGTTTAATTTTGCTAGTAACATTTTTATTTAGATTACATGTAGGTTAGCATGTAATATTGATAGCAGACGGAAATTCAAGATTATGGAATTGTCTCATTATAGGATCTTGTAAATTACTGGCTTTGACCAAGCCTTGCTACAAGGGTACTCTTTACACATTGATACTTTTTCAATCAGAAGGAAGATTGAAGAAAAAACACACAAAAAAGACAATTTTCACATCAAACGGTTTCATTTACAACAAAAAATATTGATAAAAAACCTCTTGATCTGAAGTCTAAACTCCAGATCTGAGTTTCACCATCTATCACATGTATGCCAATAGATAATACAAACAAGGCTGCAGAGCAGGATAAGGAATTGGATCTAACTCTTGGTTCCTGTGGGATTGGATTATTACCCAGTCTTTTGTTTTCTGTACTGTCTGTTGTTTATGTCTTTAAGGAAAAATGCTTACATCAAAAATTACAATTAAATTCTATTTTCTTTTATATTCTCAACGAACATGAGCAGATTATTTGTGGGATTTCTGACTGCATGTCACTTACAGCATTATTCTTTAGTAGTGTTTTGCATAAAATTCATCTCAATGTTTTTGTTTTTTTGTAGGAATACACATCTAAGAATTTAAAAGGACTGAAAGTGCAACATGAGATGGGCACATTTAAAGAAGGAAAGACTGTGATACTAACATTACAAGACAAAGGTAAAGAAAAACCTAGAACTCATTTAATTCAGATAACATACTGTAAATTCGAATATCACTATAGGCACTTATTTTAGCAATTATTGACCAGTAGACAAAAAAGAAAGAAATAATTACTGTTACTTCAATAGTCATTTTGATTTGAAAGTAAACATCAAATGTTTTACTGCACATTAGGAGGCATAATTGTTCAAAATCTTAAAGCAAAAGATGGATATATACATGTACACCTCATTTCAGACATGCATCACATTTTGTTATGCCTTCATATAATTCATATGTGATTTCAAAATGTTTTTTTATAAAGGTTTCATTTGTGCCATATTAATCCATTTCATTTGCGCCAATAATACAAGTAAATAGTATATATGATAGATATATAGTCATCATAAAACACTGCATTATGTACATCAGTTAAGCAGGATAATCTTTGATGGTCTTTCAGAAATGTCACCAGATGTTTTGGAACTCTTGATTCTTAATTGCTGAGATTGGACTGTCTGCTGGTCTACACCATAGTTCATTCAGTGTCTTTATCATGACTTTATTTTGTCCACATCGGGTTTGACTCTGTGTGGTCATAAAAAATTGACTCACTTAATTACTCAGGGAGTTGAAGGTATTTCTTTCACATGCCTCATATAGGATACAATGTATATTATAACTTTTCCAAAATATACTATACACAAATGAAATATAACCTTGTGTCACAAATGAAATACTGTTTTTTTTTTTTTTTAATTGGCACAAATTGTTTATAAAATATTTTAAAATTTCATCAGAATAAATAATTTGTTGAGATTTAATGGTCACCTATGTTATGTATGTTCACTGAGTGAGATTTAATGGTCACCTATGTTATGTATGTTCACAGTGAGATTTAATGTTCACCTATGTTTTGTATGTTCACAGTGAGATTTAATGGTCACCTATGTTATGTATGTTCACTGAGTAAGATTTAATGGTCACCTATGTTATGTATGTTCACTGAGTGAGATTTAATGGTCACCTATGTTATGTATGTTCACTGAGTGAGATTAAATGGTCACCTACTATGTTATGTATGTTCACTGAGTGAGATTTAATGGTCACCTATGTTATGTATGTTCACTGAGTGAGATTTAATGGTCACCTATGTTATGTATGTTCACTGAGTAAGATTTAATGGTCACCTATGTTATGTATGTTCACTGAGTGAGATTTAATGGTCACCTATGTTATGTATGTTCACTGAGTGAGATTTAATGGTCACCTATGTTACGTATGTTCACTGAGTGAGATTTAATGGTCACCTATGTTATGTATGTTCACTGAGTGAGATTTAATGGTCACCTATGTTATGTATGTTCACTGAGTGAGATTTAATGGTCACCTATGTTATGTATGTTCACTGAGTGAGATTTAATGGTCACCTATGTTATGTATGTTCACAGTCAGATTTAATGGTCACCTATGTTATGTATGTTCACTGAGTAACTTCTGCTTTTTCTTTCAGGTGTTTTAGATGATGATAATGCAGATGTGTTAATGAATGTAAATATGTTAGATGATGAAGCAGCTAAAAAGAATTTAGAAAATAAAAAGAAGAAAGTAGATTATAAACCGTATGATGAAGCAGAAGAAGATGAATATGGAATGGTATGAGGAACCTATGGTTGTATTCAAATTACTTTGAAATATTTAAGGTTTCCCTTATTTATAGCAGTGAGAACAAAATCATTGGCTTTGATGTTTACTACAGGCTTTTTAAATCTAAATGCATAGTATAAAAAACCTGCAAAACCACAAAAAAGTTGAATAAAATGTGAATGTCATTGAAATTTAAATGTTTGTTGAATGAATAATAAATACAAATGCATATTCATTCAACAAACATTTAAATTTCAATGACATTCACATTTTATTCAACTTTCTTGTTCAAGTTTACTTCCATACATAATACTTTCACTTTCTATTTATACTCACCATGGTTACATTGTGAAGTAATTTATGCATACCTGATTGTGTACTTCAGGCGCAATTTTCTGTATTGTTTTTATCCTGATGATAGTGCCCTAGGCACCGAAACATGTAGATCAATAAATTTTCTGCAGCAGTACCGAAAGTGTTGTTATAAGACTTTCTACATTTTATGTGCTTTATCATAACGACCCTGCATACCCGAGGTATCCACTTCTGGGACTCTACAGTACTACAAATTTACCAGGCGTTGGTTCACTTTCGTTTGTAATATGTTATTAAAAATATACTAGAACTTTAATATTAGGTATTTATTCTTTAAATTAGTATTCAGGAATTTCAATTGAACTTTAGCAGAATTAGAATGCCAACAATGTTGCATTTAAGGTTAAGGCCAACCTAGGGGCATTATGTTTTTCAGTCTGTACGTCCGTTTGTCCGTCTTGTCCCGCTTCAGGTTAAAGTTTTTGTTGAAGGTAGTTTTTGATGAAGTTGAAGTCCAATCAACTTGAAAATTAGTACACATGTTCCCTATGATATGATCTTTCTAATTTTAATTCCAAATTAGAGTTTTGACCCCAATTTCACGGTCCACTGAACATAGAAAATGATACTGTCCCGTTTCAGCTTAAAGTTTTTGGTCAAGGTAGTTTTTGATGAAGTTGAAGTCCAATCAACTTGAAACTTAGTATACATGTTTCCTATGATATGATCTTTCTAATTTTAATTCCAAATTAGAGTTTTGACCCCAATTTCACGGTCCACTGAACATAGAAAATGATAGTGCGAGTGGGGCATCCGTGTACTATGGACACATTCTTGTTTTATATATTTACATTATTATTTTCTATAGCTCAAACCTAAAGATATCCTTGGCAAGTATGATGAAGAGATTGAAGGTGAGAAAAAGAAATCATTTGAACTTGGAGCTGGAGGGAAATATTCTAATGATGATGATAGGCAGATGGACAGAATTCGACAGCAGTTACGAGAACAAAGTGTATGATACTTATATCTGATTTGTTTTGTTTTTGTTTGTACATGTAACTTGTAGTAGTTTTTTTTGGAAAAAATTAAATTCTTCAAAAGAATACTATTTGCATTGTTTCAGCATGTGACTTACACTGCAGAATGAACCACAAGTTAAACTACACTGTAAATTAATGAATAAATGTGATGTTAAAATTTATGCTTATCATGTGACAGAATGAACATAATATTATTTGAACTTTATCTAACATATTTATATTCTGCAACATGTACTTGAATCACATCAAGTAATCCTGCAGTATTATAGTTGTCGAATGATTCACAAAAATGAAAAATTTGCAATCAGATTCTAAATTTACTATATTAAGAAGTAGTACATATCGAATATGAATTTTAAATTTTTGAAAATTTGATTGAATACGCTAGTTTTGTGTTTTAATGATTGTTATAGATGTTTTAATCTGCATGAATCACATTTCTATTCATTGCAGCAAACTCTGTCCCTACCAAGTATGATGATAGCTAGTGAATATTATACACAAGATGAAGCGGTAAGTTTGTTTATATTTACTTGTCAGTATAATTTATACACAAATGGTTTTCCACTTATCCAGATTAAAAGGGGGAATGTTCAGAGCTAGAAAAACTAGTTTAATCCATCTATGCCCTAATGAGTTGATCCAAAGTCAGGAATGAACCTCATTAGTGGCTGTCTTTAGTTACAAAATGTACATCTAAATGTTTTTGTCATTTTTGGAATTTGATGTTGATGGCAGATAGTCTCTATTGAATATATTAACAGTTTTTGTAGATTTAGAGCTTGACATATTGTATAGACAATTGTCTATTCTTGAAGACTGTATGTGAACTTTGTTATATTTTTGAAAATCTGGTCAAAGTTATGGAATTCCCGTAAAATAATTTCAGAGGTAAGGTTTGGTAACTGTAAATGAAAGTTCATTGTTAAGGTTATAATTAATGATGTGATGTGAAGTACCCTGATACCAGCTTACCCCAAATTAAAGCAAGTCCAGCTTTATACTTTTTCCATCACATTATCCTGTCCCTTGTGAACATTCTAGGGTCATATCTTACTTTACCTCTCATTTCAACTTGAAGCTAATTTCTTTATATTACACATATTTCTACAATATTTAAGCACTTCATTAACTGATTGCAATTTACAGGATGCCAAGTTTAAAAAAATAAAGAAGAAAAGGAGGAAGATAAGAGGAAAGGCACTCAAAGCAGATGATTTGCTACTGTTAGATGAGAATGAGGAAAATTATGGTTCAAGGTAATTGTTGTAAAAAAAAAAGCCTCGAAATACAATGATAATTTTTATCTAGCCTGTGAAGAAAGTCACAGAATGCCAGACATAGGGATTACTATCAGGTTGGGGCGGTGTCAGTGTAAACTATTTGTATAAAGTTTTATATTTTGGAAGATAGAAGACCTGGATTTTTTATTCCTTGTTTCCAGATGCTTTATGTTACAAAGTTTCTGTCTGTCTTATGTTCATTGTCCTTGACCTCATTTCATGGTTCAGAGTATGGTAATACTTTTTGAATTTAATGATAAGTAAGGCTATGTATAAAGGCACCCTGTGCATTGGACAAAAGATATTTCTTGAAATGTTTTAGCCTTTTAAGAATTGTGTTGGATTATCCAAGATGCCACTGTCAAGAGATTTTAAACAATAACTACCGGGTATTAGCCAATTTGAACAATTTCATTAGAAATTTTCCAATGATGGTCCTCTTTCAAACTAATATCCAGTCACCCCAACCAAAATACAGAATCTTTGCCACTGTTTAAATTTTTATATGGAACCTACTGGAAAAATACATCGAAAGAAAACTTTGATCTAACTTAATAGCCATTGGTAGCCAGTTAAAAGATTATGTTGGTTGATCCTGTCATCAACTCTCATCACTTTACTGTTATTACAACATAGGGGCAACACTCATCACTTTACTGTTATTACAACATAGGGCCAACACTCATCACTTTACTGTTATTACAACATAGGGGCAACACTCATCACTTTACTGTTATTACAACATAGGGCCAACACTCATCACTTTACTGTTATTACAACATAGGGGCAACACTCATCACTTTACTGTTATTACAACATAGGGGCAACTCTCATCACTTTACTGTTATTACAACATAGGGGCAACACTCATCACTTTACTGTTATTACAACATAGGGGCAACACTCATCACTTTACTGTTATTACAACATAGGGGCAACACTCATCACTTTACTGTTATTACAACATAGGGCCAACACTCATCACTTTACTGTTATTACAACATAGGGCCAACACTCATCACTTTACTGTTATTACAACATAGGGGCAACACTCATCACTTTACTGTTATTACAACATAGGGGCAACACTCATCACTTTACTGTTCATTACAACATAGGGCCAACACTCATCACTTTACTGTTATTACAACATAGGGGCAACTCTTATCACTTTACTGTTATTACAACATAGGGGCAACTCTCATCACTTTACTGTTATTACAACATAGGGGCAACACTCATCACTTTACTGTTATTACAACATAGGGGCAACTCTCATCACTTTACTGCTATTACAACATAGAGGCAAAACAGCAGGTCTTACAATTTTCTCTAAAAAGACTTTTTTTATTGCAACCAAATGGTGTAAAGATACTATAACAGTCCCACTTGTAATTAATTGGATCTATCATGACCACCAACTAACATATGTCAGTAAATATAAATAGAACTGAAACAGTATTATGGAAAGATGCAAGATAAACAATACCGGTTCCTTCAAGCCATCAATTTTGCATGGTAAAAGTTTGCAGGCTAATATTAACATTAGTGTACATGAATTGTTAACATTTTGTAGGGATAGAGGTAAAGGTATAAAAATAAAAGACGAACCTGTGGAGGATCAAGATACAAATAGTTATCAGGGTGTATACCAGACAGGAATTGCTAATCCATTTGAACCTGATTGGTCCAAACCTCCAGAGATCAAAATGGATATTGAAGCCTTAAAAGAAGAGGAAATAGATCCTAGTAAGTGCATGTTATACACATATATTTATAGCTTATAACATGTCCTTTTCCATATTGGCCCTGGTATCATCCTGAGACTCCCATATCAGCCCGAGGGCTCATATGAGTTGAGGGATGATACCAGTGCCCATATGGAAAAGGACATGTTATAATCTAATTATCTCATATTATACAAATGCTTTAAAAAAAGAAAGAATTTTATTATTTCGTCTGGCAAGATCATACATTTTTGTTCTCCACTGAAATAACTTCATTATTACGATGCTCCCCAACAGTTCAAAACTATAGTCCTTGAATTTTATAATGTTAAACCAGATTTTCTTTTAGAAGTGGTGTTCTTTATTTATTTAACAAATCCGCTGTCATTTTAATCGAGGTTCCTTGTCTGTCATTGTTGATAGAAACGTTCATGTCGTCATAACAATAACCAGCTGTTTGACCGGGCAGGAATATGACTAGGGCAAATCTGTGGTTAATGCATATGCAAAATCGAATGCTTTCGTAACAAATATGTAATTAAAGTACATGTATATACAATACACACAAGGTGATTCTCTTCAAAATCTCTCTTGCTACTGTTGAGTTAATCCCAAATGATTGACGGTAAAAAATTAGGTATTTGACCCTGTCATATAACTATTGAATATACAGATGGATAGTGCAGAGTGATACATTCACAATCATGAGCAATCACTTTGAAATATTTCCATCTAGAAAAATGTTTAACTTATTCTCCTTGTGTGTACCTTATCCCTGTTTTATGCATTTTTACTTTGATCTTTTTGTGTGATAATGTTTATACGCTTGTTTACAGGATGTATTATGGTATACCATTGTCCATCAGTCCATTGTTAACATATCGGACAATAACTCAAAAACGCTTTAATCAATTTTCATGATACTTTGGTGAATTGTTTATATCTATTGACTTAAGCTCCCTTTCGATTTTTATAAATTTTAGATTTCCGAGTTATGGGACTTTATTCATAAAAAAGGGAGGATTTTTCAGTTACTCAAAAATGCTTTGAGCAGTTTTCATTAAACTTTGGTGACGGGTTTATATATATTAAAATAAGCTCCCTTTAGTTTTTTATAAATTTCTGACATTGAGGAGTTATGGAACTTTATTCGTTGAAAAAGCGAAGGGTGTATCATGCGCTTAGGTCGCAGCTCTTTATTCATATTGCTACTAGATGAGATAAAAAAATTTGCTAGTTTCTAAGGTCTGTTAGCAAAAGCATATTTTTTTCTCAATTGGGAGAAACAGAATGTATGACATCATGAGCTTATGTAATTGACGTTGCCTACGAAAACAGCGATAAACAGATTATCAATGGTCTTTCAAACTCTAGGATGTTTCTCTGCTACTTCTCATCTCAGGGCTATCTCCCTTCAAATTTTTTCTCATTTTTCCAGACTTTAGAATTTACCAAATTTATGAAAGAGAGTACATGTTTTCAACCTCTCCTACAGTTTTCAACCAAGATCCCTAAGACTTCACACAAAGATTGTAAATATGTTGAAGTTGTGCACCTGATATTATAGAATTGTTTGAACATTTTTTTTTTATTTTTCCCAACTTGGGAACTTAGTTGTTTTCCAGCAAAATTTACACAAGAGGATACCAAATTTTTGTAATCAGCTCCTCCTACAGTTTTCAACTGAGATCCCTCAAATATCACTCGAACATCACACAAACATAACATACATCTTGAAGTTGTACACCTGCTATTTTAGAATTGATTAAGGAACTTTCCCTTGTTTTTCGATTTACAATTGTAAATGGCATAGACATCTTCTCTGATTTTCCAGCTATTGAACATCAATTGATTTTTATACGACCGCAAAATTTTTTGCGGTCGTATATTGGTATGACGTTGGCGTCGTCGTCGTCCGAAGACACATTGGTTTTCACACTCTAACTTTAGTTTAAGTGAATGGATCTCTTTGAAATTTTACCATAAGGTTCAATACCACAAAAGGAAGATGGGGATTGATTTTGGGGGTTATGGTACCAACAGTTAAGGAATAAGGGGCCAAAAAGGGGCCAAAAATAAGCATTTTCTAGTTTCCAGACAATAACTGTGGAACGGTGTATGGATCTCTCTGAAATTATACTACAAGTTTCCATACCACAAAGGGATGGTTAGGATTTGCTTTGGGGGGTTATGGCTCAAACCGTTTAGGAATTAGGGGCAAAAAAGGGGGAAAAACAAGGTTGTCCTGGTTAATGGACAAATACTTTAGTACAAAACATAATTTAAAGCAGTGTAAGGGAGAAATTGTGGGGGGTCAATTTTTTCTCATTTCAGATTTCAGAAATTAAAAAGAATTATTCTTCAAATATTTTTTTTTTTCAAATTTCAAATATTGAAAAATTTCAAGAAGTAATCTTTAATTGCACAGTATAGCGCATTAGATTTGTAAAATCTTTGACCACATTTATTTATTTGTTATGCCGAATCTAACCGTGTATTTAGATTTTTAATTTTGGGTCCAGTTTTCAAATTGGTCTACATTAAGGTCCAAAGGGTCCAAAATTAAACTTTGTTTGATTTTAACAAAAATTGAATATATGGGGTTCTTTGATATGCTGAATCTAAACATGTATTTAGATTTTTGATTTTTGGTCCAGTTTTCAAGTTGGTCCAAATTGGGATCCAAAATTAAACTTTGTTTGATTTCAACAAAAATTGAATATATGGGGTTCTTTGATATGCTGAATCTAACCATGTACTTAGATTTTTTATTTGTGGGCCCCGCTATCAAATTGGTTCATATTGAGGTCAAAAGGGTCCAAAATTAAACTTTGTTTGATTTCATCAAAAATTGAATTATTGGGGTTCTTTGATACATGTATTTAGATTTTAGATTTTTGGCCCAGTTTTCAAGTTGGTCCAAATTGGGGTCCAAAATTAAAACTTTGTTTGATTTCAACAAAAATTGAATATATGGGGTTCTTTGATATGCTGAATCTAACCATGTATTTAGATTTTTTATTTGTGGGCCCGCTATCAAATTGGTTCATATTGAGGTCAAAAGGGTCCAAAATTAAACTTTGTTTGATTTCATCAAAAATTGAATTATTGGGTTCTTTGATATGCCTAATCTAACCGTGTTTTTAGATTTTTAATTTTGGGTCCCGTTTTTATACGCCCGTTTACGGGACGTATTATGGCATACCGTTGTCCGTCTGTCCGTCCGTCCGTCTGTCCGTCCGTCTGTCCGTTGTCAACATGTCGGACATTAACTCAAAAATGCTTTAACCAATTTGCATAAAACTTTGGTGAATTGTTTATATCTATTGACGTGAGCTCCCTTTCGTTTTTTATCAAATTTAGATTTTACGTTTCCGAGTTATGGGGTTTTATTCATTAAAAAAAGGGGGATTTTCCAGTTTTTGGACAATAAGTCAAGAATGCTTTCACCAACTTGCAAGAAATTGTGGTGAATTGTTTATATCTATTGACATGAGCTCTCTTTCGATTTTTATAAATTTTAGATTTTACGTTTCCGAGTTACAGGGTTTTATTCATAAAAAAAGGGGGGATTTTCCAGTTTTCGGACAAAAACTCAAAAATGCTTCCAGCAATTCTTATGAAACTTTGGTGAATTGTTTGTATGTATTGATGTAAGCTCCCTTTAGAATTTTATAAATTTAACGTTTTACATTTTTGAGTTATGGGGTTTTATTCATTAAAAAAGGGGTGATTTTCCAGTTTTCGGACAATAACTCAAAAATGCTGTCACCAATTCTCATGAAACGTTGGCGAATTGTTTATATCTATTGATGTAAGCTCCCTTTTTATTTTCATAAATTTCTAATATGACATTAAGAATTTATTGAACTTTATTTGTTTATAGTCTGACAAGTATTGCACAACAGCAAGAAATCTTTAATTGAATATAAATTCAATACATATAACCAATTTCAAGTTCTTTGACTACATTTATTCAGAAACCTATAATATGTCAAATATTTAATTACAATCCAAATTCAGACCTGAATCAAGCTTGAATATTGTGTCCATTTTTGCCCCAACTGTTCAGGGTTGGACCTCTGCGGGCGTATCTAGCTGCGCTCAGCGAAGCAGTTTATTTAAATTGGTCTACATTAAGGTCCAAAGGGTCCAAAATTAAACTTTGTTTGATTTTAACAAAAATTGAATTCTTGGGGTTCTTTGATATGCTGAATCTAAACATGTGTTTAGATTTTTGATTATGGGCCCAGTTTTCAAGTTGGTCCAAATTGGGGTCCAAAATTAAACTTTTTTTGATTTCAACAAAAATTGAATATATGGGGTTCTTTGATATGCTGAATCTAACCATGTATTTAGATTTTTTATTTGTGGGCCCCGCTATCAAATTGGTTCATATTGAGATCAAAAAGGTCCAAAATTAAACTTTGTTTGATTTCATCAAAAATTGAATTATTGGGGTTCTTTGATATTCCAAATCTAACCGTGTATTTAGATTATTAATTTTGGGTCCCGTTTTTTAAATTGGTCTACATTAAGGTCCAAAGGGTCCAAAATTAAACTTAGTTTGATTTTAACAAAAATTGAATTCTTGGGGTTCTTTGATATGCTGAATCTAAACATGAGTTTAGAATTTTGATTATGGGCCCAGTTTTCAAGTTTGTCCAAGTTGGGGTCCAAAATTAAACTTTGTTTGATTTCAACAAAAATTTAATATATGGGGTTCTTTGATATTCTGAATCTAACCATGTATTTTGATTTTGGACATTGGACCATAATAGGTAAATAAAAAAAATTCAAGTTCTTAGACCACATTCTTTCTGTGTCAGAAACCTATGCTGTGTCAAATATTTAATCACAATCCAAATTCAGAGCTGTATCAAGCTTGAATGTTGTGTCCATACTTGCCCCAACTGTTCAGGGTTCGACCTCTGCGGTCGTATCAAGCTGCGCCCAGCGAAGCATTTTATTCAGAACTGTTCATGTATTAATAAAGTTATTTTTATAATTTTAGCGGAATTATTGGAGCCAGATGAAGATTTAACAGGTGTTAATATAGAGGAAGATGAAGTCCAAAATGAATTACACTCAGCACTTACCAAAGCTCGTAAAGTTAATCTGAAACGAAAGAAACCTCCAACTTTACAGGTACCAATTCAACAGTACACAATTTCTTTCACTTGCTTATCAACAGCAATTTTATGGTCAACTGACCCAAAGGGCAGGTAGGAGCAATTGCCATTTCCTTTGACTCCATCATCTTTTACTATTTACTGTAAACAGTTAAATTGCCCAGGTGCAATTGCATTATGCTCAGCAACTTATAACTAGGCTAATCCTGCTGTAATTCAGAAAGATTTATATTATTTCAGACAGTCTTAGAATAAGTAAAGCAAATAAAAAAATAAGAAGCAATGTTGTCACTATCAAATAGACAGCTAATTTTAGATTAAATCATTTCATATCAACAATAAATTGATTGAACTCAAAATTATTTTCAGTTGCAAAATATTTCAATTTTCCCTTCCAAGTCTTTTTCCTAATTTTTATACGCCCGTTTACGGGACGTATTATGGTATACCGTTGACCGTCTGTCCGTCCGTCCATCGTCAACATGTCGGACATTAATTCAAAAACGCTTCAACCAATATGCATGAAACTTAGGTGAATTGTTTATATCTATTGATGTGAGCTCCCTTTCGTTTTTTCTAAATTTCAGATTTACCATTTCCGAGTTTTGGGGTTTTATTCATTAAAAAAGGGGGGATTTTCCAGTTTTCAGACAATAACTCAAATACAATTTGCATGAAACTTTTGTGAATTGTTCATATCTATTGACGTGAGCTCTCTTTCGTTTTTTATAAATTTCGGATTTACTGTTTCTGAGTTTTGGGGTTTTATTCATTAAAAAAGGGGTGATTTTCCAGTTTTCGGACAATAATTTAAAAAAAAATTCACTAATTCGCATGAAACTTTTGTGAATTGTTCATATCTATTGACTTAGCTCCCTTTCGTTTTTTATAAATTTCAGATTTACCGTTTTCGAGTTTTGGGGTTTTATTCATTAAAAAAGAGGGGATTTTCCCGTTTTCAGACAATAACTCAAAAACAATTTCACTAATTTGCAAGAAACTTTGGTGAATTGTTTATTTCTATCGACATGAGCTCCCTTTTGATATTTATAAATTTAAGACTATACGTTTCCGATTTATGGGGTTTTATTCATTACAAAAAGGGGGATTTTCCGGTTTTCGGACAATAACTCAAAAATGCTTTTCAGCATTTTTTATGAAACTTTGGTAAATTGTTTATATCTATTTTTGTAAGCTCCCATTTTATTTTTATAAATTTTCGATTTTACGTTTCCGAGTTATAAGATTTTATTTGTTTATAGTCTGACAACAGATTTACTAAGTATTGCGTAACAGCACAGTGTATTGCACAACAGCAAGAAATCTTTCATATAACCAAATTCAAGTTCTTTGACTACATTTATTCAGAAGCCTATAATATATCAAATATTTAATTACAATCCAAATTCAGACCTGTATCAAGCTTGAATATTGTGTCCATTTTTGCCTCAACTGTTCAGGGTTGGACCTCTGCGGGCGTATCCAGCTGCGCTCAGCGAAGCAGTTTATTGGCTTATTACAAGCTATTTCTTAAAGTAATTAGATATTTATTTGTTAAAAGCAATTATTAAACTATCACATTATACAATACAGAAAGTATAGGTCCAAACTAGCACTTAACAGTACATCAAAACAAATAACACACAAGTATTTAATGTCAACATTGTCGGTGTAACCATTGGAGTATGGTAAATGTAAAGCATCAATTTACAGGTTATGCTGTGTACTTTGACAGAAATAATTTAATTTTTTAAAGAGATGAGAATTATTCAGTCATAATTAATGGTACCAAGTGTCAGTCTACTCAAGGAGATTTGAGTATAACCTCCTTTGTTATATGTTAGCTATGAATTGTATTTGAATATTTTCTGTTTTTATGCCCCCGCCGTACCGGAGGGGGCATTAAGTTTTACCCTTGTCCGTCTGTACGTACGTACGTACGTACGTACGTCCGTCCGTACGTCCCGAAATTGGTTTCCGTTCTCTAACTTGAGTTTGCCTCAACCAAATGTTATGAAACTTATACACAATGCTTATTACCACAAAACACAGATCAAGTTTGAATTTTGGTGGCGTCACTTTAACCGATCTAGAGTTATGCCCCTTTATAAAAGGAAATATTGCAAAATTTTTAGTTTCCGTTCTCTAACTTAAGTTTGCCTCAACCAAATGTTATGAAACTTATACACAATGCTTATTACCACAAAACACAGATCAAGTTTGAATTTTGGTGGTGTCACTTTAACCAATCTAGAGTTATGCCCCTTTATAAAAGGAAAAATTGCAAAATTTTTATTTTCTTCTAAATAATAAGTTTATATAATATATTTTTAAAATTGGAGTTATCTTCCTTTGACCATGATTATAGTTGAATCAACTACAATCAATGCTTTATACAATGCAATGTTTAATTTTGACTACCACTGATAAAACACAGATCAAGTTGAATTTGGGTAGTGTCACTTTAACCATTATTGAGTTATGCCCCTTTATAAATAGAAAGATTGCAAAATTTTTTAGTTTCCATTCTGTAACTGAAGTTTTCCCCAGCCAAACATTGTGAAACCTATACACAATATTCATTCCAACAAAACTCAGTAAAGATCAAGTACATTTTTTTTGTTTCAGTTCTCTAACTTGAGTTTGCCTCAACCAAATGTTATGAAACTTATACACAATGCTAATTACTACATAATACAGATTAAGTACGAAATTAGGTGGCAACACTTTTACCATTCTAGAGTTATGTCCCATTATAAACATAAAAATTGCTGAATTTTTATACGACCGCAAAAAAATTTTGTGGTCGTATATTGGTATGACGTTGGCGTCGCCGTCGTCGTCGTCGTCGTCCGGCGTCGTCGTCCGAATACATATTGGTTTTCGCACTCTAACTTTAGTTTAAGTAAATTGATCTTTTTGAAATTTGACCATAAGGTTAAATACCACAAAAGGAAGGTTGGGATTGATTTTGGGGGTTATGGTACCAACAGTTAAGGAATTAGGGGTCAAAAAGGGGCCAAAAATGAGCATTTTCTAGTTTCCAGACAATAACTGTGGAACGGTGTATGGATCTCTCTGAAATTATACTACAAGTTTCCATACCACAAAGGGATGGTTAGGATTTGCTTTGGGGGGTTATGGCTCAAACCGTTTAGGAATTAGGGGCAAAAAAGGGGGAAAAACAAGGTTGTCCTGGTTAATGGACAAATACTTTAGTACAAAACATAATTTAAAGCAGTGTAAGGGAGATAAATCAAATACATCATTGGAATTATCTCCCTTACACTGCTTTTAAATTATGTATAAAGTAATGGTTAATGAACAATAAAGATAATCTAAAACAGTGTAAGGGAGGTAATCCAAATACAACGTTTTGGTTACTTCCCTTGCACTGCTTTTAAATTATGTTTAAAGAAATGCATATTTATAAAGGAAGACCAGTAAAAATATCTGCAAATGTTTTCATCTTTTTTTTTTACAAAAATATCCATATGAAAGATTTGACACTATATTTTTATTAATTCTATTATAAAATAGATTAAATTAGCACTATGGTAAATTTAAATGGGTAATTATGGTTGCCAACTCCATTGGAAATTTGAATTGAGATTATGACCATATCTTGAGGGAAAGAATTTTTTTGGGGGAAAAAGGGGGGGGGGGATAAAAAGAAATTCTGGGGGGCCAATTTTTTCTCATTTCAGATTTCAGAAATTAAAAAGAATTATTCTTCAAATATTATTTTTTTTTCAAATTTCAAATATTGAAAAATTTCAAGAAGTAATCTTTAATTGCACAGTATGGCGCATTAGATTTGTAAAATCTTTGATCACATTTATTTATTTGTTATGCCGAATCTAACAGTGTATTTAGATTTTTAATTTTGGGTCCAGTTTTCAAATTGGTCTACATTAATGTCCAAAGGGTCCAAAATTAAACTTTGTTTGATTTTAGCAAAAATTGAATATATGAGGTTCTTTGATATGCTGAATCTAAACATGTATTTAGATTTTTTATTTTTGGCCCAGTTTTCAAGTTGGTCCAAATTGGGGTCCAAAATTAAACTTTGTTTGATTTCAACAAAAATTGAATATATGGGGTTCTTTGATATGCTGAATCTAACCATGTATTTAGATTTTTTATTTGTGGACCCCGTTATCTAATTGGTTCATATTGAGGTCAAAAGGGTCCAAAATTAAACTTTGTTTGATTTCATCTAAAATTGAATTATTGGGGTTCTTTGATATTCCAAATCTAACCGTGTATTTAGGTTTTTAATTTTGGGTCCTGTTTTTTTAAATTGGTCTACATTGAGGTCCAAAGGGTCCAAAATTAAACTTAGTTTGATTTTGACAAAAATTGAATTCTTGGGGTTCTTTGATTTGCTGAATCTAAACATGTGTTTAGATTTTTGATTATGGGCCCAGTTTTGAAGTTGGTCCAAGATAGGGTCCAGTATTTAAACTTTGTTTGATTTCAACAAAAATTGAATATATGGGGTTCTTTGATATGCTGAATCTAAACATGTATTTAGATTTTTGATTATGGGCCCAGTTTTCAAGTTGGTCCAAATTGGGGTCCAAAATTAAACTTTGTTTGATTTCAACAAAAATTGAATATATGAGGTTCTTTGATATGCTGAATCTAACCATGTATTTAGATTTTTTATTTGTAGGCCCGCTATCAAATTGGTTCATATTGAGGTCAAAAGGGTCCAAAATTAAACTTTGTTTGATTTCATCGAAAATTGAATTATTGGGGTTCTTTGATATGCCAAATCTAACCGTGTTTTTAGATTCTTAATTTGGGTCCCGTTTTTTAAATTGGTCTTCATTGAGGTCCAAAGGGTCCAAAATTAAACTTAGTTTGATTTTAACAAAAATTGAATTCTTGGGGTTCTTTGATATGCTGAATCTAAACATGTGTTTAGATTTTTGATTATGGGCCCAGTTTTCAAGTTGGTCCAAGTTGGGGTCCAAAATTAAACTTTTTTTGATTTCAACAAAAGTTGAATATATGGGGTTCTTTGATATGCTGAATCTAACCATGAATTTAGATTTTTTATTTGTGGGCCCCGCTATCAAATTGGTTCATATTGCTGTCAAAAGGGTCCAAAATTAAACTTTGTTTGATTTCATCAAAAATTGAATTATTGGGGTTCTTTGATATTCCAAATCTAACCGTGTATTTAGATTTTTAATTTTAAGTCCCGTTTTTTAAATTGGTCTACATTAAGGTCCAAAGGGTCCAAAATTAAACTTAGTTTGATTTTAGCAAAAATTGAATTCTTGGGGTTCTTTGATATGCTGAATCTAAACATGTGTTTAGATTTTTGATTATGGGCCCAGTTTTCAAGTTTGTCCAAGTTGGGGTCCAAAATTAAACTTTGTTTGATTTTAACAAAAATTGAATATATGGGGTTCTTTGATATGCTGAATCTAACCATGTATTTTGATTTTGGACATTGAACCATAATAGGTAAATTAAAAAAATTCAAGTTCTTAGACCACATTCTTTCTGTGTCAGAAACCTATGCTGTGTCAAATATTTAATAACAATCCAAATTCAGAGCTGTATCAAGCTTGAATGTTGTGTCCATACTTGCCCCAACTGTTCAGGGTTCGACCTCTGCGGTCGTATCAAGCTGCGCCCCAGCGAAGCATTTTATTTAGTTTGTCTCAACCAAATGTTGTAAAACTTATACACAACCGTTCTAGAGTTATGCCTCATTACAAATAGAAAAATTGCTGAATTTTTAGTTTCTGTTCTCTACTTAAGTTAGCCTCAACCAAATGTTATGAGACTTACACACAATGCTTATTACCACAAAACTCAGATCAAGTTCAAATTTGGGTAGTGTCACTTTTACCGTTCTTCAGTTATGTCCCTTTATAACTATATGATATGCAAGCGGGGGCATCATCTGTGTCCACATGTGGACACTATCCACATTTATTTTATATTTGTCAATAGTCATGAAAAAAAATAAATGACCAAGGAGATTTCTGATTATCTAATTATGTATAATTGATATTTTTTAACTCAATGTTTACAGTTAGCAGAACAGATTAAATCTAAAGAAGAACCCATGGAGATGTCTCCAACAAAGAAAGGTGCACTGAACATAATATTGAATGCAACTTCAGAATTCTGTCGATCTCTGGGAGATATTCCTACTTATGGACAGGCTGGTAATAGAGAGGAAGATAAAGATGAATTGGTGGTTGGTATAAAATATTTTTTTATGATAACATTGTGGACATCATTGATTGGATATTCTAATATGAAGCCCTTTAAACGCTCTTGGTCCATACCTGGGGTAAAATATGAATATTGTATGTAAGCTGATTGGCAACGTAAGAATTTGTTTTGGCTGTTCCAATTAATTCCCATGTCATAGGCAGTTATAATTAAATACAGGAAACATATAAAGAAAAGTTCAGTATGATTTTTGAAATTTGTTCAGTATGTAGGTAAGTTATTTATTTACATAAATACTTGTTCGAAATCTAAGGCGATACCACTGAGTACCATCTCAATTTCAAATTGAAACTTATTTGAAATTGAAGATGAAAGTTTTTGATTTGTGAATTAACGAAAAACCTTACGAACATCCAAAATCCCTGCTTTAAGCATGTCACTAAGTTTTCTACACCTTTAACATCAGTATTTGTAGTGTGTTTAATTAAGGAACAACAAATATTTGCCTTGATCTAAGGTCCTGTGGTAAAAAAAATACCATTTGAAACAAAAATAATTCATGTGAAACAGGATTTAATTAATGATGTGCACAGAATTGTGGGAGATTTGTTTATATACCATTAGTGTCTTATATATGTGTATATACATGGGACCTGTGTCAGGAACCTAGGAAAGAGGATAGTTTTGTTAGGCATGCTCTTTTATAAAATATACAAGTTGTTTATAATGATCTTGCATATGGTAGCAAAAGAAGGTAAAAAGTGTATATTTCACCTTTAATACACTTTAAAGGGTTCAAAAATCTTGTTATTATCACATACATTTCCATCAAAGTTCTATATAAGCTTTTAAAGGTTATAGGGTAATTCTAATTTGCAATAACATGAGAAATTCAGTTTCAAAATGAAAGCAAGTCCCTTTGAACAATTTTAGGTACTGTTAGATGTATCTATGTTTGCATGTTGGTTCTTTTTTTGAGAGTTTATCAATTAAGTCATTTGACCTCCCTTTCAAGATCATTGCTTTTTTTCAAGCTGCAATCATAACTTATATCACAGTAACTGTAACTTTGTAGATTGCAATATAGTGAGTGAGTCAGCACACAGGCAAAAAAGTGGGTAAATTTCATGCTGCACTGACTATGTTTAAAGTTTACATTTTGGTACTGTAGTTCACATGTATTTAAAATCATGTCAGAATTTTGACTCCTAGCCTACCAGACTTTTCTTTTATTATTGCTGCTTATAATAGCGAGAGAAGCAACAATTTTTTATTTTAATTTCTTTAGTTTGACCTGTTCATGGCTTGATCCCTGATCTGTTGTACTTGAGTCAATCACACTACAACAAGACCCCAAAGACATAAATGGCTTGTAACCTCAATTGGAGATACATGCATGGCAGTCTGTGAAAATCAATAAACAGTTTAATCATACTTTACTCATGTTTGCTGATGTTAACATTTAAGATTAGATAGTACATGTATTACTATATGAATATTTTCTTGATTTCATTGAAATTCTTCAAAGCAAAACATTCTCAGAGCACTTTATTTCTTAGATATATCTATATATTTTTATACTCTTACAGGACTTAGAACGAGAACTCGCTGAAGAAAGATTACGTAAACAGGAAGAGGATGATCAGTCAGGTTGGAACAGAGTGGAAATCGACCAGACACCTGTGGATTTATCAAACGTAAGTTTACTGAGACAATAGACTTAGTATGTTAAACAAATGTAACTTTATTAAACATGTCAGGATAATAATACAGAGATAGGGGCACCTCTATATACATCAGTGATAACAACATGAAATTGATCTTGACATCACAAAGAATGATGAACTAACACTTCTCGTTAATGTCTTGTCACTTTTTCCAATTCACTTGTCCCTAATACTGAAGCAGTGTCTGTGGGCCCTGCAAATGTATTGATATGTCATTTTATAATTTTGTACATCTTTTTGAAGAATTGACCATTTAGTTAGTGCTTATACAAAATATCTCCTTAGGATATGGTGTCTAAATGCATAGTTCTTAATTAGTAGATTAGTAAGATTGTTAACTTCGGCGCTGTTTTCTCTGTGAAAGAAGTTTAACATCATACTGTTATTGTTGCAGAAGCTTTTGTCTTAGACATGTCTACTTAGCAAATTTAAACACTTTATGTTGATTTGAAGTATTTTAATTTTAGAAAGCAAACTGAAGCCTTTACTACATATATTTCTTTATTGACTCAGTACTATTGTATAACTACTCCAAATCATCCTAATAAGATTTTGTGATTCATGGAGTGTAATGGCATGGGGACTTATTTAATGAAAAAAATATAGGTTTTCATTGCTACCAAAATAGAGAGATAGACAAAGGTATCTGTTTTTAAAGAGCCCCTATTATTCACATGAATTCAATGAATACTTACATTACTGTTTGCTGAAAACAATTATTTGATTAATGTAAAACTGGGTATAAGTAAATAAATAACAACACACATTTGTTTGTAGACATCAGAGAAAACAGCACTGGATGATGAACCTGTGGTGGGTACAGGGGTAGGAGCAGCTTTACAGTTAGCTAATAAAAAAGGTCAGTCTGGTTTACACAAATTCCAAGGGTTTCAACATGTGTAGGTCAATTGTCAGCAACCTTTTTAATCATGTAAGGACTTTAACTTCTAGGTGTATAATAGAACTTTAAAAATATTCAGTTTGCTTGAATACTAATGAATTAAACAGAACAGAATTTTAGAATGATGTAAAAATATTGCAGTCAATTTTGATAAGAGGCAGAGGACCTGTTAAAATTCTTGCAGTGGAGTTGCATAATTGTGACTGTTCCAAGGGTTGACCTGATGAGGTCGAGGATCAATCACTTTAAAATCATGGGGTCAGAAATGTTCTCATTTAACATCTTAAATTTACCAGAAAATCTAAATAACAAACTGAATGTACAACTCAAGTAAAGTATGAAGGGTCAAAGATCATTATTAAAAGTGTATGTTTTTTAAAAGAAACTTGCATTTTCTATCAAAAAAACTATTTCTAAAAGCTGTCATACAACTTATAAAAAGTGGTATTTTGTTTGAAATGAATATTAGAGAAATATGTTGAGATGCCTCATAATTTGAATAAAGTCTAGTGCCGTATTGCTGTTATTAATTAAAGAATGTTTATGAGGTCAAAGGTACAAAGTTAAGAAAAAACCTGACTTTCAGCTTTCATTTTCTTTCTTCATGGCCATTTGGGTTAAGTTACCTATTGCCATCATTTGGCATCAGTGGTCATCAATCATTATCTGCTGTCAGCTGTTGACTATTAAAAATTAAAAAAATAGAAACCACTGGACCAATTTCAACAAAACATTGCTTACATTAATACCAAATCTCCTTATTTTTATACTAAATGATAATTTATTGGGTTTCTAGTATATAGTTTGTGATTTTTGTCCCAACCAAACAACCCCATGACTAAAAACAAACTTACCAATTATATGTATTTGAAAATTTTGGAGGAATTTCCCATATAGGGTACAGGATTTATTTGTTAAAGTCATACAAACTCTATCAAACTTGGAACATTTTATAAGTATTTTTTTATCCTGATTGTTAGGTACATAAATAATGTGATCATAGCAATGAAGAAGAAAGCAATTGATTTGTCTTGATTTCACTTGACAAGAGATATATTTAAAAGTAGATTATCTTTCACAGAAAATATTTTTTATCCAAAAAAGGAAAAAATAAATATCAATATGGAATATATTTGCAAGTTGAGCATTTTTAACATTTCAGGCTTTTAGGAGCCTCTAGTTTCAATTAATGGTTGTATGGTAATATTTATATAACAATCACTGTAGTTGGCTGTACTGCAACCTATATAATAAAAGGAGATATTGGGTAAACTTCAATAGGACAGCACTCCGTTAACAGATGGCAACAAAAAAACAACAAGAGATCAGCATGCATTTTTTATTATGATGTGCAGGCACCCATCAAAGATAGCTAGCATTGACATTCTATTTCTTGTCCTTTGTTTTTGATGGGTAACATGTCCATGAAAGTTACACAACATTTCAAAATATAATAAGATAATAGTATGTACAATTTATTTTGCAGGTTACATAGAAAAAGATGAGAAAAAACCTCGCCCTGAAGTAAAAGATGCTGAGGATTTGTCAGCTCAGAATTATTCTATTGAGGACAAAAGATATGAGTAAGTGTTTAGCTGCCACCAAAAATGAACAATATCACAGGATACCAGTTTTATGCCTGTTAGTCTCTTAAGCATAAATGTGTTATGTGACCAATTGAATTTGTATTTTAATAGTTTCCTTCAGATATAATATGAGGACTTGTAGGCTGTAAATCCTAAACTCTGAATTATCAAATATAACTGATTTTTTTTTAATTTCGCAGAAAGTGGAGGGGCAATCATTTAGAAAACAGTTTTAACATCTTGCTACCTAAATATTTTGCGGAGAAATCACTGTATTGATTAATTATAGCTGAAAATAGTTTGTACATATCTTTAAGACAATAAACATATATTAGCAAATAATTAGAGAAATAGTGTTTATATGAAATTTGGATTTTCTAAAATACATTTGTCAAAAGTATTGTATGTATCATTTAAGTGATCTAGACGAAAAATTTAGAAAAAGAGATAGATATGGTGGCAGTGGTATTATTACTGATTTCAAAGAAAAGGATACTTATAAGCCTTCTTTTAAATTGGAATATGTTGATGATGCTGGGCGACATATGAACCAGAAAGAGGCTTTTAGACAGCTGTCACATCGTTTCCATGGAAAAGGTTCAGGAAAGAAAAAGACAGAGAAAAGACAGAAAAAAGTTGAAGAAGAACAGGTTCATGTCCTTTACCGATTTTATTTTTGTTTATATATAAAAAAGTAAATGTAAATGAAATATGTAGCCCTAAAGTTTTCAAATGCTCAATGATAAGAAATGTATAGCAAAAATTTCCATACTTTTGAAATAGTAAAAAATCATCATATTTGTGATGGGATGTTTCCATTCCTTGTCAAAGAATTTATATTATCAGTTGATTTTTTATAAAGCATTCAATATGATATATATTGTTAACACAACATTCATACTTTATTTATAATAAAAACAGAGATATTAAAAATCAATCTAATGGATGTCCTTCTATGAGTTTATGAATTTTACGATAACTGAAAGATTGGACAGTATTTTCTATTTTACAGTTAATGAAACAGATGAGTTCAACAGACACACCACTTGGTACACTGAATATGTTAAAAGAAAAGCAGAAATCAGAAAAATCTGCTTATATTCTTCTGTCAGGGAACAAAGGACTAACAGGGTATGTTAAAATAGGAAAATAACACTTTATGAATTTGGTGTGTTTGAAGATTTTTTCTGGCTCTTCCTTCATCAGAATGGCACTAACCAAAAAATTTAAAAGCCAAAGGATTTATAAGCATTTTAATAAGTATGGGGCTATATGACCGAAAGGGATCTAAAAGGAATAGCCAAATCAAATTTTAAGTCAACATTTCCTGAGTATTGAACTCGTCTTTGCATAAACAATTGCACAGCTTTGAATCTGAAATACATGTAGTTTGATGTACATGTGTTTGATATAATTATTCAAAAGATTAAACATGTTTTATAAGAATGAAGATACTACAGGTTTCATTTCTGTTATTAGGGTCCTCATTTCTATGTTGGAACATATTCCAGTAGACTTTCCACTTCATTGTCTAGTAATCCTTTCTTTAATACATAATTTTACCATTTACATAAAACAACCAGAATTAAAGGAAATCCTTAGCAAAAAACTTTTCCATATGATTTTGAGGAGACCCATCTCTTATCTCATACTTCTCTAAAATTATATTGTAGAAATTATTGTACATGTTCTTCCAAGGAAAGTGAATTGTTACAGTTTGGCATTTTGTATAGTCCAATCAATTGAGCAAGATCTTATTTTGTTATAAAAATACAAGCCAATTGGCCAGTTCAACACAATCAAATCATAAATCAATCCCAGATTGTGGTAAACAAAACAAAGATTAAGTAATTTGCCAAATAACACCAAATACCTATAAAAGACATTCCTATTATCTTATAATATTATCTCAATCAATTTATTATTGTGATATGCATTGGTTAATGATTAATAATATCTACACCTGCAAATCTTTCATTCTTTGACTGGTAGAACGATACATGAAAGATACATTCACCAACTAATTAAGAATTTTTTTACTAATTAAAGTATATAGCATGATTTGCAAAACTCCATGTTTTGTCAGTGAAGGATTTTAAATTACTTGATGATCTGTAAGTAAATACAATACACATTTTTGGGAATTATTGTCTGAATACATTAATTACATTATGTTTCATGTTAAAAACTCCATCAAATTTCTTTTTCAGAGCTAACATTGCCAAATCCAAATGAGTGCGATAGAAAAGATTTTATGGTTGTCTATGAACAGTAGCATTTCACAATGAATGATAGACATGTAAAAAATGTCCACTGGAAAATGTCATTCATAATATTTTGTGAAATCCTTTCAATCTCAAGGTATCACTACATGGAAACTTTAATAGTGTTCAAATACCTTACAAATAAAAAAAGTTGTGATAGAATTCCTGCATAGAACAGATAGTATAAATATCGAAAAGATCTCTTGATAAATGTGTTATTAATGATATGTTATTAATTAACAATAAATATGAATTTATAGCATATTGTAGTTGACTAAACTTTTTTTTTAAATTCAGGCAAATTTTCAAGGTACAACAGGAGTAGACATTTTGTGAGAGTTATAGTGTTTAAGTTTGGTTCAATTGGATCAGACAGAAGTTTTACAACTTAGTCAAGTCCTCTTCAAAGTTATTGTGCAGCTTTTATGACATTAATATTTACTGAAATTAAATTTTGGGTAAAATACATATCAATAAAATACAAAAAATATCATGAATTATGTCAGGTATACTGGTCTGCATATGGTACAAGTCATATTATAAAGTTGTCTGGCTTTAACTTTGATATTCCCTTGACAACATTGATGTAATATCTAGTTTTTCCCTAGTGCTGTGCTAGCTCAAATCGCTGTTAAATTTTTATGGTCAAAGATTTTGGTACTTTTGGAAGCAAGGTTCACCTTATTGTTCAATAAAAATGATCTCAAATGTCTGAATTATTTAGGAATGGTAATTTACGATTTTCTCGGGAAATTAAAATTTCAGTTACTTATGATCGCAACGAAACAAATTTTTAGGAATGGTAAATTTATGATTTCTCAGGAATTTAAAAATTTCAGTTACTTATGATCAAGACGAAACAATTTTTTAAATTTTTTAGGAATGGTAGATTTAGGATTTTACAAGAATATAAAATTTCAGTTACTTATGATTGGGATACATTTCTTCTTTCCATCCCATGAAACTTAATTTTTCTGTAAGATAATGTAATGTTGTTGATTTAACCAAATATTAAACTATGTGTGTAGAAGAAAGGTTGAATTGTCCATCATTAAACTCCAGGTTATTGGCTAATTAAGATTATGTATACAAAATTGATATCTTATAGCCAACAAATATTTCCTAAGTAAGTAGAAGAAAATTGAAGGTTATTTGGAGCAGTCCCAGGTCCTGATTATGTCTGCTTTTCTTTGATTCATCCCTTACAATTCAGTTGATTAACCCTACCAGGCCGCCACATTCTGTATGTGTTTGTCCAAAGTCGGAAATCTGTAATTCAGTTGCTGTTGTTCCCTGCACAATGCGTTGCGGGGGACATACAAATACCGGCCGTCCACCTGTCCAGTCTTGTTAGTGCTCTCACATATACAATTCTTGACGGATTTTTATAAAACTTATATCATAAATTTATATCAGCAATGTCTCGGACAAGTTGGAAAATCAGTGCCAATGAACTTCTGTTAAAAGAGTTGTGCCCCTTGGAAACATTATTTATATGGAAAATTACATCGTTAGCACTCTCATTTGTATAATTTTTGCCAGATTTTTATAAAACTTATATTGTAGGTTTATATCAGCAATGTCTAGGACGCGTTCGATAATTATTGCCAATCAATCATTTTTGGGAAAAGATTGCATGAAATGCAATCAAAACCCTATGGTACTGACTTGATATCTAAATCTTCCAAGGTTTATCACTACCTTAGAGATACACAAAATATAGTCCACAAAGGGATGGTTAGGATTGGCTTTGGGGGGTTATGGCTCAAACCGTTAAGAAATTTGGGGCAAAAAAGGGGGAAAAACAAGGGTTTCCTGGTTGGTTACAAGAGCGCAATTATTTGTTTACATTTTACCGGCAAGTTTTTTACCCCAAGATGGTACTCAGAATAGAATCCTATACGGCTTCTGATTGGATGATACAGGATTGGAATTACATTTAATCGAAAGCTTATCCAATTAGGTTTAAAAATTGCAGAAAATCATATTCACATTTTACGAAGTATAGAAAATATCCTCCATTTCTGCACGTCGGAGCCATTAAAAATATGCCTTTTTCATTAAGCGAAAAAAATAGACGATCTTTTTCAACTGCATTTTAAGTCAATTTCTGCCGCATGACCCTATATATTTTTATACGACAGCAAAAAAATTTTTGTGGTCGTATATTGGTATGACGTTGGCGTCGTCGTCGTCCGAAGACACATTGGTTTTCGCACTCTAACTTTAGTATAAGTGAATGGATCTTTATGAAATTTTACCACAAGGTTCAATACCACAAAAGGAAGGTTGGGATTGATTTTGGGGGTTATGGTAATAACAGTAAAGGAATTAGGGGCCAAAAAGGGGCCAAAAATAAGCATTTTTGTAACTTCCAGACATAACTTGTGTGTTAGTGTATGGATCTCTCTGACATTGTACCACAAGGTTCCATATCACTAAAGGAATGCTGGGATTGATTTTGGGGGTAATTGCCTCCAAATTTTAGGAATTAGGGGCCAAAAAAGGGGCAAAAAAAACGCATTTTTCTAGTTTCATGACAATAACTTGTGTGTAAGTGTATGGATCTTTATGAAATTGTACTACAAGGTTCCATATCACAAAGGGAAAGCTGGGTTTGAGTTTTGGGGGTAATTGCTCTAAACGTTTAGGAATTTGGGGCCAAAAAGGGGCCAAAAAACACATTTTTTTCTAGTTTCCAGACAATAACTTGTGTTCAAGTGTATGGATCTCTCTGAAATTGTACTGCAAGGTACCATACCACAAAGGGAAGGCTGGGATTGAGTTTGGGGGTGATGAATCATAATGGGGGTTCAAAAAATTTTGGGGGGGGATTTATTTTTTTTTCCTTTTTTTTCTTTTTTTCCTTTTTTGTTTCTTTTAAAATTTTCCATTTTAAGTTGGTTATTTCTGATTTATATTTAAAATCAAATAATAATGATATGGTAGGAGATACACACCAAACAGGATGTGTAAATTATTATATAATAAGTATTGTGCAATAGCAAGAAATTTTCAATTGCACAGTATTGCACAATAGCAAGAAATCTTCAATTGCACAGTATTGCGCAATAGCAAGAAATCTTCAATTGCACAGTATTGCGCAATAGCAAGAAATATCCAATAGCACAATATTGCGCAATAGCAAGAAATTGTCAATTGTACAGTATTGCGCAATAGCAAGAAATATTTAATAGCACAGGATTGTGCAAAAGAAGATACTTCCTATAAATTGCTTATTTCTTGACCAATTTCAATGGGGTTTTATTCTTGATTTCATGGGGTTCTTTAATATGCTGAATCTAACCGTGTATTTAGTTTTTGGATTTTGGGCCCCGTTTTTAAATTGGTCCACATTGAGGTCCAAAGGGTCCAAAATTAAACTTTGTTTGATTTCATCAAAAATTGAATTATTGGGGTTCTTTGATATGCCGAATCTAACTGTGTATTTAGATTCTTAAATTTTGGTTCCGTTTTCAAATTGGTCTACATTAAGGTCCAAAGGGTCCAAAATTAAACTTAGTTTGATTTTAACAAAAATTGAATTCTTAGGGTTCTTTGATATACTGAATCTAAACATGTATTTAGATTTTTGATTATGGGCCCAGTTTTCAAGTTGGTCCAAATCGGGGTCCAAAATTAAACTTTGTTTGATTTCAACAAAAATTGAATATATGGGGTTCTTTGATATGCTGAATCTAACCATGTATGTAGATTTTTGATTTTTGGGCCCCGTTATCAACTTTGTCCACATTGAGGTCAAAAGGGTCCAAAATTAAACTTTGTTTAATTTCATCAAAAATTGAATTATTGGGGTTCTTTGATATGCCGAATCTAACCGTGTATTTAGATTCTTAATTTTTGGTTCCGTTTTCAAATTGGTCTACATTAAGGTCCAAAGGGTCCAAAATTAAACTTAGTTTGATTTTAACAAAAATTGAATTCTTAGGGTTCTTTGATATGCTGAATCTAAACATGTATTTAGATTTTTGATTATGGGCCCAGTTTTCAAGTTGGTCCAAATGGGGGTCCAAAATTAAACTTTGTTTGATTTCAACAAAAATTGAATATATGGGGTTCTTTGATATGCTGAATCTAACCATGTATTTAGATTTTTGATTTTTGGGCCCCGTTATCAACTTTGTCCACATTGAGGTCAAAAGGGTCCAAAATTAAACTTTGTTTGATTTCATCAAAAATTGAATTATTTGGGTTCTTTGATATGCCGAATCTAACTGTGTATTTAGATTCTTAAATTTTGGTTCCGTTTTCAAATTGGTCTACATTAAGGTCCAAAGGGTCCAAAATTAAACTTAGTTTGATTTTAACAAAAATTGAATTCTTAGGGTTCTTTGATATGCCGAATCCAACCGTGTATTTAGATTCTTAATTTTTGGTTCCGTTTTCAAATTGGTCTACATTAAGGTCCAAAGGGTCCAAAATTAAACTTAGTTTGATTTTAACAAAAATTGAATTCTTAGGGTTCTTTGATATGCTGAATCTAAACATGTATTTAGATTTTTGATTATGGGCCCAGTTTTCAAGTTGGTCCAAATCGGGGTCCAAAATTAAACTTTGTTTGATTTCAACAAAAATTGATTATATAGGGTTCTTTGATATGCTGAATCTAACCATGTATTTAGATTTTTGATTTTTGGGCCCCGTTATCAACTTTGTCCACATTGAGGTCAAAAGGGTCCAAAATTAAACTTTGTTTGATTTCATCAAAAATTGAATTATTGGGGTTATTTGATATGCCGAATCTAACTGTGTATTTAGATTCTTAAATTTTGGTTCCGTTTTCAAATTGGTCTACATTAAGGTCCAAAGGGTCCAAAATTAAACTTAGTTTGATTTTAACAAAAATTGAATTCTTAGGGTTCTTTGATATGCCGAATCTAACCGTGTATTTAGATTTTTAATTTTTGGTTCCGTTTTCAAATTGGTCTACATTAAGGTCCAAAGGGTCCAAAATTAAACTTAGTTTGATTTTAACAAAAATTGAATTCTTAGGGTTCTTTGATATGCTGAATCTAAACATGTATTTAGATTTTTGATTATGGGCCCAGTTTTCAAGTTGGTCCAAATCGGGGTCCAAAATTAAACTTTGTTTGATTTCAACAAAAATTGAATATATGGGGTTCTTTGATATGCTGAATCTAACCATGTATTTAGATTTTTGATTTTTGGGCCCCGTTATCAACTTTGTCCACATTGAGGTCAAAAGGGTCCAAAATTAAACTTTGTTTGATTTCATCAAAA